TATCTATCTATCTATCTATCTATCTATCTATCTATCTATCTATCTATGTGTGTGTATGTGACTATAAATTATGAAATCAGTGAGATACACTATTCCTTCACATTCTGGATTGCCAAGATTTGTGTGAAATATGATAGTATCATTGTGTGGAACTAGATAACACACTCACACTCCTCAAGCACCAGTTAAAGACACGCCAGCCACACTGTAGGGAACTGGCAAATGCTTACTAATTTCCAGAGTATGCATATGTATGTCACAGAGCTTCTTAATATCACCACCATGAACTTTATGTCTGTGTTCTGCATGTTTAAGAATAGCTGCTGCTATTAGGGAGCCTGTGGGTTATCTATGTTAAGAATCACTGTACAGCAATGGATAGACCTATTCATCTATGAGGATAGATGTTAAGACTCACGGCCAGAGTAGACGACATGAGCAGCGCCCCTGCTCTCACTGCGGACCTTTCAGTCTGTGAAGACAGACAGTGAAAAGGGTAACTTCAGGTGGCAACATTCCTTCCAAAGACAACAAAAACCGCAACAGTGGAGTGATAACCCCTGGTAGAGGGTAGTGGGGAAGTGATGATGTGTCATGGAAGACCTCTAAAGCAGTGACATTTGAACTCATACAGGGAACAGGAAGGAGCCAGGTAAGAAAGACGTGGAATGGAGTTTTGTTTGTTTGGTTTTTTTGTTTTGAAAACTGCAAAGGTCTTGAGGTGAGAGCAGTGCCGGCCTTTTGATGGGAAAAGGTGTTTCTGTGACACTGTGGAGAGAACCAAGGGAGGATGATGACAGTTCAGCAAGGGGAGCCAGGCTGGATCCTGGTGCGTCTTGCAAGGGCAGAGTGTGGGGTGGGGTGCTGGGAACTGTCAGAGCTGGTGCAAGTCAAGGGGACTTTCAAGCAATGCAAATGTACTGTCTTATATATTTAAAAAAATTTATTAGCCAGGCGTGGTGGTGCACACCTGTAATCCCAGCATTAGAAGGGGCAGAGGGAGGGGGATCTCTGTGAGTTTGAGGCCAGCCTGGTTTATAAAGTGAGTTCAGGACTGCCAAGGCTATACAGAGAAACCCTTTAATAAACATACATTTCTTTTAATTACATATCTTGTTCGCATATGTGTGTGTATGTGTGTAGTGAGCAGGTATTCATAGCTTAGACAGAAGAGCTGGGGTGTCTACAGATAGGAGAGAATGAATGCCCCATCTCAGGGAAACAGAGCTAGGCAGAAGGGGGGGGACTGTGCCCCCAGTATGTCCACGTACATACATACATTTTATGCCTAAGTCAATATTCATAAATAATGCCTTCAAAGCACTTGTTAACCAGACACAGGACCATGATAAGTGGTGACTGGTGAGGCTCCTCACCAATCTCCACATCACAGAGACTGTGTCAAGGCTGGGGTCCAGAAAAATGGAGAAACAACAGGAAGGCTGTGCTACTCTTGCCCACAGTTTTGTCAGGGGCCCACACAGGGGGAGCCAAAAGTCTCTGTGGGAGTGAGAAGAGCAGAGATGGCCTTCCAAGGCAGATCCATTTTAAGTCTGAGGCTGACTCACTAACTCTACTCCTCCCTCTGAGGCCCACCAGCACTGAGATGAAATGTGGGCTCCTCGGTCCTTGACTCTCATCTGCTTTGTGCACACAGGTGTGTGGAACGTGCCTTTGGACAGCCGCTACGTCACACTAACGGGGACCATCACACGAGGGAAGAAAAAGGGTCAGATGGTGGATATCCATGTCACTCTGACACAGAAGGAGCTGCAGGAACTGACCAAACCCAAGGAGCTGTCAAGGGAAGTGGCACCTGAGGGTAGAAGGGCCTGCCAGGTTGGGGCAGATCAGGGGCCACATGTGGTCCTCTGGACACTGGTCTGCCTACCTGTGGTCTTCGTCCTTTCTTTTGTCGTGTCTTTCTACTACGGCACTATCACCTGGTACAACATCTTTCTTGTGTACAGTGAGGAGAGGACCTTCTGGCATAAGATTTCCTGCTGTCCATGCCTCATTCTCTTCTATCCAGTGCTCATCATGGCCATGGCCTCTTCCCTGGGGCTCTATGCCGCCGTGGTCCAGCTCTCATGGTCCTGGGGAGCATGGTGGCGAGCTGCCTGTGACATGGAGAAAGGCTTCTGTGGCTGGCTCTGCAGCAAGTTGGGTCTGGAGGACTGTTCTCCCTACAGCATTGTGGAACTGCTGGAGTCTGATAATATCTCAGGCAGTCTCTCCAACAAGGACCCCATCCAGGAAGTAGAAACCTCTACTGTCTAAACCGCCAGTGATTCCTTCCAGGCCCTAATAAGAACATAGTCATTCTCCAGTTCTAGCATAGTCATTCTACAGTTCTTAAGCTACCCAATACCCTCTGCAGTCCTGGAAAATCCTTGCACACACTACAGTGTCCCACCATCTTCGTTATCCCAAGAGGATGGGAAATAGAAAAGCGACTGGTGCCAAAGCAGTTCATCTGAAATGCTTCTTGACTCTTTGCCCTAAAATGACTGTTTATGAGGGCTATGAAGATAGAGTGGAAATCCCTTCAGGGGCCTGAAGGTGTTATTGGTGCCGGTAACCGGGGAGAGTGTGTGCCTAAATGTGACAGAAAGCAAAAAGATGCTCAGGGGTGACTGAATCCACGAAGAAAATAGATAAAGATGGAATGCCACATTTAGGGAGCCAGGCTCCTATTCTAAAGACTGTGTGCATCACTTATGGGTAGATGGAACTGCATATAATTAAAGCCCCGAACATCAATGAGCTAAACAAGAAACACACTTCCTTTTTATGTAGGTGTCCGGAGGCAGACCATTCCAAGACCCTATGAAATTATCTGGGTCTCCCTGGATGGTGGGATGTGGCCCTCAGTGCTCTTCTCTTCAGTTTCCGAATGCTGACTACATCTCCGGCATAGCGAGTTCCAGAAACCGTGTTTCTGGAAGACAACCAGCCAAGGAACCAAACGAAAGTTTGAAGCAAAGAAGCCCAGCTGACCTGTTTAAGGAGGCTTCAAGGAAGTCTCCCATCGATATTTACTATATCTCCTTGGCCACACTATAGTCGCGTGACCTCACAGTCAAAAGAGGCTGAAAAAAATGTAATCTTTTTATCTGGGTAACTATATTCTTAGACGAATACTGAATACTGGGGTTATGTGAATTTGAGAGAGAAAAAAAAGGGAGATAATGGCTATTTGGTAGGCAAGAATCAACATCTTACGATAGGTATCATTCAGAATTCCGAACTACTAATGGGCCTCTATTTATTTGTTTGTTTATTCGTTTAGTTATTTCGGCCCTAGTCTTACACAGAGAATTTATACATAGAGATGAAGTACATACGCTATGCATTAGATAGTAGCACCTCGTGTATTTGGCAACTTACCTTTGGTCATGTGGTTTCAGGGTTCTCTAGAAAGACCCATTAGATAGGAGCATACAGTCATATAGTCACAGTACAGTTCTTCCTGGGAAGGAAGGGGGAACAGGGATTGGCAATATTTAATCTATAAAGATGGAGATGAGAGAGAGAGACAGAGAACAAGAATGAGAGCATCTGTCAAACGCCAACCCAGCAGGGATCAGTAGCTCAAAGCACAAACCACATTTAGCTTGTGGTTTCACCAAACCCAGAAGCCTTATTTGCTCGGACCTTTCTAACACGAAGCTTCTGACAGGACAAGTAGGAATGTAACAGACAAAGCCAGATGAAAAGAGTCTGGATTGGAGAAACAACAACTTCATTTTAAGAGTGCCCTGATTTCAAAATGTCAAGTCCTGTGAGGTCAGTGAGAATTGGGGTTTGGATTTTTAAAAGAAGGGGTGATGATCATTTTTCTTGTCTCAGAAAGAAGTGTTCTGAAGAAGTTGCTCTGAACTGAACCAACCAGAGGAGTTGATCAGGCTCCCCCATAGCCAGCCAGAAGCATTCATTTAACGTATGGTGCTGAACTCTACTTTCAGAGAATTAAAAAAAAAAAAAATCCTGTTATTAGTTTAATCAGAAGAAAAAAAATGTGTCCAGTATTTTTGAAGATAGCTATGGTGCTTTCTGGTGCATTTCCAGAGATATGAATAATTTAAATGGAAATAAAGATAATAAGCTCTGATTAGCATTTTCTTATTTTATTTTGGGGGCTCTCCATAATAGCTCTGAGCACTACAGAGCTATCCACAGGTCCTGTGGATGTGAGATCTTTGAAGACTTAAGTGTATGAGTGGTGCCTGCATGCATGTAAGTGTACCACATGCATATCTGACTCTGGGGCGGTCAGGAGGGGTCAGAGCCTCGGGAACTGGAGTTGCAGGTGTCTGGGAGCTGACATGCAGGAGCTGGTAACCAAACCCAGACTGTCTTGGAATGCCCTAAATCTTTCCAGGTTATTCTTTGACAGCTTTATTCTCCCAACTTGGAATGCCTATATAGAGTGTTAGTTTAAAACATTGAGAAGATTAATGGACAACATAGAATTTCTTTCCCTCACCTCAATTTACTTACTTACATGAGGATTTATAAAACATGGACTTTAAAAACTAGTATTTGATGAAAGTAGCTGAACATGGCATCATTCCTATATGATCGCTGGAGGATTCTAATGCGCTTCCAAATGTCCATGTAATGTCACGGTTGCTGGGTCAGAGCAAGAGCTTTGCACATTTTTGTTCTAATGCCCATACAGTCATCACTTAGATAGTGAAGGCGCTCTAGCCGGCCTGATCATAACAGTCATGGCTCTGGCAGACCCTGCCCTTCCCCATTCCCTCTGCCTTGCTTAAAAACACGAGCTTACATTCCTAAAGTGAGCCAGGAAGGTCTATTACGTTATTTGACCACTTCCTCCTTCTAAAGCTGACTACCAAAGTCAGACAGAAGCCATGACAGACAGACCAAAGTATGGACACCACCAAAGTCAAACTTGGCGAACCAATTAGTTTTATTGGGGCTACTTACAGGAATATGGGTGAGAAGTTACTTATAAGGGCAGAGATGGGGGCTGGAGAGATGGCTCAGAGGTTAAGAGCACTGGCTGTTCTTCCAAAGGTCCTGAGTTCAATTCCCAGCAACTGCATGGTGGCTCACAACCATCTAGAATGGTAAGATCTGGTGCTCTCTTCTGGAGTATAGGCAGGCAGAACGTTGCATGCCTAATAAATAAATTAAAAAAAAAAAAAAAAAAAAAAGCAGAGATGATTCAAAGACAGCTGCATCACCAGAGCCCACCCCAGCATGGGTGACAGGTCACAAAGCAGGGAAACCTGGAGCATTCTGCTCAGCCTGCAGGCAGATCAGTAGGTTGAGGAGTGTCCTCCTTTCCAAGTGACTCAGTTAGTCTACACCTCTTCCAGGCAGCTGCTTCATGTTCCTCAGTAGTCTCTATTGCATACTTTTGAGAGGGAGGAGCCTAGTTAATCTGGTCAATTTCAGGGACTTCCTCAAACTATTTTGAGTTGTTTACTTTCTGTCTTATGGAACTTCACTACAGGATGGGATGTTTTGATCTCAAAGGAAACTGCTATTCAACATACATTCAAGGGTAATACTAACTTTAAATAGCACAGTGTGGTAGATCTTATTTTTTTAAAAACAATTTTTTTTGTTGTTGTTATGGGTCTGGGGTCATTCAGAGATTCACCATTCTGACTCAAGTTTTAGTTTTAGTAAACTAGAGCCTTTTTATTAAAAAGAGACTGGCTAGGGCTAGACTAGAGAGATTTCTCTAGGTAAGGCCCCAGCTATTGTTAGCCAAAGGATTATAAGGCAAAAGCTACAAAGTTATTGTAAGAAAAAATATTGGCTCAGGATACCCAAGACCAAGTTCTTTGCACAAAGGGGGATTTATTTACCCCAGAGGGGCAGACGGCAGAGAGTAAGAGACAAAGACAGGAGATAGAGGATGAAGGAGAAGGGGAAGGGATCAAGGGAGACAGGGAAGGGTTATTTGTCCTGAAGGGACAAAGGACTGCCTCTAGGTAGAGAGGAGACAGATGTGGCACATAGGAAGATGGCACTTTATAATGGTACAAGGGGAAACCCTGTGTTAGGGTGAGGAGTTTATTTTTAATTCAGCATGTTAATTAGGTAAACCAAAAGGGACTTTTGATTGCTGGACTTCAGTACTTTGATAGCTGAACCTTGGTAGTGAGTCTCAGGAGGAAGCTGCCAAATAAGGGGATAGACCTTGGTGGCTAGCTTTAGGAATGTAATCTAATGGTTATTAGTAAGGCAGAGGGGATGAGAGAGAAGGGAAAAGCCTGCTAGAGCCATGCTCACCACCCGAGTGCTAGCCAGAGTCCCTTCAGTTGTAATTTTGTCCTGTCAGCAAGGCTGAGTGTTATGCTGAGAATTTTCCTACTGTTTTGTAGGTAGGTGTCCTTTTGCTTTGTGCTTGTGAAACACAGACACAGACACATACACACAGCAGGGTTGGGGGAGAATAAGGGCTCACGAGTGATCTATAGTGGTTCTTTAAAAAAGCACCAGTAATATGAGCCTCTGCTCTTGTGACTTCATCTAAATCTGAACATTTCCCAAAGGCCCTGAGTCCAAATACCATCACACTAGGAGCTAGGATGTCAACAGATGGATTCTGAGGAGACACAAACATTCAGTGCACAGCAGTCCCCACGTGGCTCAGTTGGCCTTTTTCTGTTCGGCACTAAGTTTCTTGGCCATCAGGCTTCATACGTGAGCTCAGGGTTCATGAGACTGCAGAAAGCAGACCTGCTAGGCATTCTGAAAGCTTTGGCCCAGAATTCATCCTACTACAATTTACTGGTGAAAGCAGGCCCCATGGACAGATCCAAGGGAGGGGCTATATAAGGGTAAGAATGCTGGGTTGTATGGTTTACACGGCTACCAAAATAAGCTCACAAGTCCCCATTTTCCTTTAATACCCATTTTCTTCAGGCAACAGTGATATCTCCAAAATATACACGATCTCCATCATCTGCATAGCTCACCAACCTCTCTTCCACCCCTTTATCTAGTTTCATGTTTACATCCACCCAAGAGGACCTCACATTGTCACATAAAAATGGAAACAAGCTGGGTGCAATAGAGCAGGGTTTTAATCCTAGCACTCCGGGAAGCAGGGGCAGGCCAATCTCTGTGAGTTTGAGGCCAGCTGGGTCTACAAAGAAAATCTAGGACAGCCAAGGCTACACAGAGAAACCCTGTCTTGAAAAACCAAAAAAGCAGAAAGAAAAAAAAGAAAAATAAATAAATAAATAAGGAAAGAAAGGAAGGAAGGAAGGAAGGAAGGAAGGAAGGAAGGGAGGAAGGAAGGAAGGAAGGGAGGGAGGAAGGAAGGAAAAGAACAAAGCAAGATCCTTTTGTTCTGCAGGTTAAAAGTGAAGGATCCAATGTCAGCATGAGACACCCCAAGACCAAGTTCTCAGAAACTCCTGCTAACCTGGAGTGGATGGCTGTTCTGGGAAAGATGGAGTCTAAAAAGATGCCCTTTTTTCTAAAAACAGAGGCTGCCAATTATAGTGAGTGTTCACTCATTTTCAAGGAAATTGCCCACCAGTCCTTTCCCTCTGGTGACTCTTGCACAGAAATTGCCTGCTTTCTATGCAAAATGACTCACAAGCAATTCTTACCAGAGCCAAAGGTGTTTATACTAAATCATTTTGTCTGCAAAGTTGAACACCGTTCCTACTTTTTTTTACTTCGGGAATTCTCACTTTTTCTTTTGCCGTTGGTCCTAAGGTCATGGCATCTGGACGGTGTTGTGGGTTATTAATATCTACTGTTGATTCATCTGGACGGTGTTGTGGGTTATTAATATCTACTGTTGATTTATCTTTTAGTTAAACAGCGGTTATTCCTAAACCAGCTGTATACCCAAATCACCACAAAGAGTTAACCTAGAGTACAATGCTGGGCAATGATTACTCCAGTCTAAACCTCCAAGCCCACATAGCTTCCTCACGTTCAGAATTTTCCAACATTATACTTGCTTTAAGTCATATCTTAGGTCCAATTCACATCTCCTTGCGGTTCCAAGTGCTCTTCTCCCGGATCTCTGCTCTCCCCTCCTCCCACTCGCTTCCTTCTTCTCCCTTCCGGACCTGGATGTCCCACCCTATTCTCTCCATTGCACAGCACTGGCTGGTCGTTTATTGAAATTACAGAGAACAAATGATGGCATGTTGTACACAAACTTGAGACAGGTGATGCTTAGAATAAACATCACAATGCAATGTCCATATTGAAACCAGATCGTGGGGGAGAGAAATCAGCGTTTAAATGAACAAGGGTATATTGTATACATTTCACAAAAACATACCAACAGGGCAGTCTTTCTTTTGTACCATGTTTAGAAGGCTTTGAGAGGAGTTAAGTGACTCTCTGGATTCATCTTATGTAGGGAACTCTTAACCCCAGAGAACCAATACAAAACGGTAGCAGTAGGGATTGTTTTTAGTTCAGTACTAGCAATTACTTATTCATTTTTAAAAAATCGTGTATGCATATAACTGTGTGTGGGTATGTACATTTGAGTGCAGGTGCCTGTGGAGGCCAGAGGGTGTCAGATCCCACAGAACTGGAGTTTTGAGGTGCCCGGTGTGGGTTCTGGGACCTGAACTCCTCACCCTTGCAAAAACAGTACACATTCTTAACCTGTGAGCCATTGCCTCCTGTCTCTTATTTACTTTTTGGTATTAAATGTGCTATTTATCTTAAATTTATTTATTAGTGTTAGGACACGTGGACGTCAAAACACAAGTTGTGGGAGTTGGTTCTTTCTCTCCACCACGTGGAGTCGGACTGGGGTCTTAACCCCAGTCTTAACCCGCTGAGCCATTTAGCCAGCCCGTTCTAGCAGCTCAAAGAGAACAAAGCCTGAATTAGGGAGGCAGGGAGAGAAGTCTGCGCATGCTCAGAGCCCGTGTTTTTCCCGCCCCTTGCACGCAGAGCCGGAAGTCCAGGCTGTAGTCGCTGCAGTTTGGGCTGTGGGTCGCCGGAACTGAGTTGCTACAGTGTAGGTTGCTGCCCGGGAAAGTAACCAACCCGGCTGTAACCGCAACATGGCGTGGTCCGGTAATAAGGTACTGAGAGCTGGGCTTTTTGCCTTCCCTGAGCCGGGGATCCGCTGCGGGTGGCTCGGTAGCAGGAACTGTGGGATCGCAGCTGTGCCGGCGCCAGGATGGATGCCCAAAGCAAAACGCTCGGGGTTCGGAGTTCTGCGTTTGAGCCTTGTCTACCCCCACACCCCCGTAATCTGCCTCACCCCCTCCTCCTCCCTCCCTGGCTGCATTCGTTCTTCTATCCACTCAGCCTGCCAACGCAGGCGTCCCTTATTGCTTCTGAACCAGGGTTCTAAAAAAATATATGTTAGCCAAGATCATCCCCTACGTGACAGGCTTGTAAAGCTTCATATAGGGATTCTGTGAATGAAATTACTCAAAATGTAAAGTGTCATATTATTGCCTTCACATTAATTTACTGTCTCGAGTTTATTGAAAGCTTCTTACTGTGTGAGGCACAACTAAGTCTTTTATTCCGATTTCATTAAATCTTCACACCAAGCCGTGAACATTATTGTCTTTAACTTGTAAGTCGGAAAACCAAGGTATTAAGACCAAGAGGTTAGAACAGGTTAGAACACAGTCACCCTTTCCATAGGTGGTAAAATATGCATGTGAACCGAAGCTATTTTCAGAGGTCTGAAAAACAAACCCAAACCCAAACTGCTCTATTGCTAAGAAACTTTGACCCCTGTCTTCCTTGATTAATAAAGGAATTAGAGTGAACTTTAAAGTGATTTTTTGATTACTAGGGAGAGATGCAATGGCAAGGATTTGTTCATTCATCCACTTACCTATTTATTTAATACAGGCACACAAGGTAGGGGTTTTCCTCCACCCCCACCCACTTGGGAAATTTTGATTAAATTATGAGCTCATAATAATGTTGCTCACCTCCTTTGTTCCTCATCTTTCATTTGCTGAAAACTTTGTAGCTCCCAGGAAGGACTTAGGTGTGGCAGATGTAGTTTATTTTACTTTATTTCCGAGTCAGGGTTTCTCTGTGTGGCCTTGGCTGTCCTGGAACTCGATTTGTAGACTGGGCTGACCTCGAACTCACGAGATTCACCTGCCTCTGCCTCCCTGAGTGCTGGGATTACAGTGCTGCCCCTCTGTGCTCGGCAGACGTACTTTAAATAAAATCCTAGCAGGCTGGATTGCTTCCATATAGACATGAAGATTGCTGTGCTCTCCCAGTTTCTTAAAGTATCATAGACCATTCCAGAATCTTCATACTGTCAAATTCTTTGATGCCCTTTCCTGAACCTCTGATTCTTGACCGAAGACTTCTAGTCCTTTAGTGTTTGCTACTTTCAAAGTAGGTTTGTGGAAATATATTAAATAAGCACAGCTAGCATATTTTGTGATTCTTATATTTTAAAAAATTCTGTTTTTACGCTTAGGGAATCACTATGGGATGTAAATCGAATTCCTCTCAAAGGTACTCTGTAGTTTATTACTGTTCATCCCCAAATAACTTGTCATTGCTTTTGAAATCTGTTAATATCAGTGTATCATGTGGTTCCACTCTTTATGAACTAAGGGAATATAGTATTTCCTTAGTGCGTTGCAAAAAAAGTCAAAGTTAGGGATCATCTCCCTACCATAGGGGCTCATCCAAGTTTATAAAACACCTCTAGAGACAGATAATCATTGACTTAGAAAATAGTGCCTTCTTAATTGATCGCTTTAAAATCCTTGTCTTATAAGATATGGTGCCCAGAATTGCTCACATTTTGTCTGGTCAGCAGAAAGCACAGATGAGATGTGCAGGATAAGATCGTTAATTCTGGAAACAGCCTTAGGCTGCATCTAGTCCCACAGCTTTGTGCCTCACTGAATTAGCAGTGAGGTTAAGTGACATTCCCAAGGGATCAGAGCTAATGAGTGGAGCTGAGACTAGAACCCAGGTCTCTGGATTGCTAACCTAGTATTTTTTTTTTTCTTCATTGAAAGACCCTTCATTTTTCTTTCTTGAATACATTATGGCGTTGATACAAACTAAAATGTTTGTGAGGATAGAATGTTACAGCCTTATCATCTTGTTGACTCGGTCTATAATTTACCTTGAAATTATGAGTCATTAGTTCAGGTCATTTGCAGTTTATATTTAATTAAATTTTGTACGCAAGATACATACAGCTTACATGTGTCTGTTTTGCATTCAGTTTGTTGTGTTTCCTTAGTCCCTGTGATAGTATTAATCATCAGCTTGACAAACTTTAGACTCACGGGGCTGGATGGGCCTTTGGGCCTGCCTATGGGGGATTATGGTAACTGATATGGAAAGACCCATCTCAGCTATGGCTAGGACCATTTCCTGGTCAGAGGACTCAGGGTTTTGTAAGGTGAAAAAAAGCAAGCTGAGCACTAGTAAGTGTGCGTCCATTGTGCTCTTTGGACTGGGTGTCATGTGACCAGCTGCCTCAGGCGCCCTATGCCTTGTTATAGCCCCCTCACTCTGACGGGCTTAACCTGGAACTAGGAACTAAAAGGCTTTGCCGCTTGAGTTACTCGTGTCAGGGTCTTTTATCACAGCAGCAGGAAAAGAAACTCACAGAGTTCCCAACATATGATGATTGCTATCTATTCAATGACGACCTGGTGCCATCGCTTGTGGTTGTACGCTAGTCACAGAATTGGCTCCCTCTGTCTGTGTGGCTTCTAGGGAATATTAGGCCCATTCACAGGTTCTCCACAGTGGAGCTTTACATGTCTTACGTGCATTCTGTCCCTAGCACATGTCCCTTTATCCTTTATCCTTCCCCTTCTACATAGCAGTACAGGGACCCTTTTCAGAAACTTTGCTAATAACTTCTTTTTTTTTCTTGTGTACCTTTTGGGACTTTGTTTGTAGGCAGCTGTTGTGCTGTGTGTGGATGTGGGGATTGCCATGGGTAACTCCTTTCCTGGTGAAGAATCCCCCTTTGAACAAGCAAAGAAAGTGATGACTATGTTTGTCCAGCGACAGGTAGGTTTCAGATTAACCATAAGCTTGTAGCCCACTCTGCCTCAGAAACAGCTGTCCTGGTTTAGATTCTGTTACTAGTCTAAATAAATAAACAACACGATAGAAATCTAATGAAAAATAACTCAGAGGAGAAAGGGTTTATTATTTTGGTTCACAGTCCAGGTGAGAGCCCATCGTTCTGGGGACGTGAAGGAAGAAGGAATTGAAAACTACTAGTCCCAGTCTAAGTCAAGAGCAGAAAGAGAATGAAACATGCGTGCTTATTTGTGCCGAAATGAAAAGTGAGACCCACAGATAATGAAAAACCCACATAGGGGCTGGAGAGATGACTTAGAGGTTAAAAGCACTCGCTGCTTTTCCAGAGAACCTAGGATTGATTCCCATCACCCACATGGGGGCTTACAAACATCTGTATCTTTAGTTCCAGGGCTCTGTCCTGTTTTTGAGGTACAAGGCACAAACATGAATAGACATACACGCATGAAAAACACCCATCTATATATAATAAAAAAATACTTTTTAAAAGTTAGAAAACGTCTGCTTAGAGCCTAATTGTCATTGTTAGTAAGTCCCATTTTCATTTATTTTAATATCTCATGACCCTGGGGACCTGTGTAAGGAGGTATGATCTTCCTGCTCCCTGAAGAGTAGGGGTTCTTTTTCTTCCAGGCTGTTCAACTACAGTCTTCAACCTTTGATATTCCTTCCTAGGTATTTTCGGAGAGTAAGGATGAGATTGCTTTAGTGCTTTTTGGTACAGACGGCACTAGTAATGCCCTTGCCAATGAGGACCAGTATCAGAACATCACAGTGCACAGACACCTGATGCTACCAGATTTTGATTTGCTGGAAGACATTGGAAGCAAAATCCAGCCAAGTTCTTCACAAGCTGACAGTATCCTTTTTGTGTCCAAGAAGACAAAACATTTTCCCTTTATCTGAAGAATCATAGTCCAGTTTAGTGAGGCTCTCTCAGGGTCTCAGATCTGAACATCTGGGCATATTTTCCTCTGAGGAAAAGGGATTGTGTAATTAATATGGAATTAGTTAATTAACTAATGCTCAGCTTCAGGTCTTCTAGTCTCTTTGCATTGTGATATTGAGAGCTTGGGAAGTATAGGAAGGGGAAAGTCTTACGGAGTATATGCGTACATGGGCTGAGGAGAAGCATGTTTGGAGGCTGTCTTAGGGGTCTGTTGCTGTGAAGAGATGCCTTGACCATGGCAATTTTTATAAACGAGAATATTTAACTGGGTCTGACCTACAGTTCAGAGGTTTATCTTCATGGTGGGAGGCATGATGGCACGCAGGCAGGCACGGTGCTGGAGAAGTTAGCTGAGAGTTCTACATCCCAATCTGCAGGCAGCAGGAAGAGAGAGTGACATTGGGCCTGGCTTGAGCATTGAAAACCTCAAAGCCCACCCCCAGTGACATACTTCCTCCAGCAAGGCCACACCTCCTAATCCTTTCGAAATAGTACCACTCCCTATGAGCCTCTGGGGACTTTTTTCATTCAAACTACTACAGAAGTGTATTCAGAAGATTGAGTGCTAGCTCTCTCTGCTCTTCCAGGTGAAAGATGCTTCTATGCAATCATCAGGTTGCTGTCCAAGCTGAGATCTCTCATTTTTCACCTCTTCCACAGAGGCCTCTTCTAGTTTGCTTTGTTGGTGTGATATGACACTGACCACAATCAACTCGGGGAGGAAAGGTTTATTTTGGCTTCTATCATGGAAGGAAACCAACAAGAGCTCAAGCAGGAGCTTGAAACACACACCAACAGAGGAAAGCTGCTCACTGGCTTTCTCCCTAGGCTCATCTTCAGCTGCCCTTCTGAAACCGCCCAGGCCCACCTAACCAGAGCTGGCACCACCCTGAGTCCACAGGGGTCTGGACTCCTGCATCACTTAATAACCAAGAAGATTCCTCACAGACATGCCAGCAGGCCAACCTAATGGAGACAATTCTTCAGTTGAGGTTCAGCCTCGTAGGCACGTCAAATTGACAGTGAAGATTAGCCATGAAAATGAAACCTTGTCTCAAAACACACACACAGGCACACACACAGATACACAGATTAACGCCCTAATTTTAAAGGTGTATTCTTAGCATTTTCCTAAACAATTAGTAGTACCACCCTTGACCACTGGGAGGTGCTGCAGTGTTTGGAGTGACCTGAAAATGATACATTATGGCTTGCTTTGTGTTTAAGAATGGGCTGATTACCAAATATGGGTTGTAGGTGCTGTTAAATGACATCCTAAGGTTTTTGTTAAATGAATATTCGTTAATTTGCTTGTGGTTTTTTTCTGCCCACATTGTCAGGGTGTATATGTTGATAGAAAGCATATATGAAATCAACTCTGCAGGAGGGCTCGTGGGTAAGCCCTTCGGAGTCGTTCAGTGTCTGCAGTTGTCAAGTAGTGTGGGCTCTGCTGGGAGGAACTGTGATGTTCATTCACCATGGGAGGAAGGGACTGCTGCCCTTGTTTCTACCCTTAACTGGCCGAGTCCTGGATGCCCTGATTGTGTGCATGGATTTGATTCAGCGTGAAACCATGTGAGTGTCTCACCTGAGGACAGAAGTGAGGCTTTCTGGGCAAAGCATGTGTTGCTGTGTTCAATAGACTGTGTGGTTTGTTGTTAATCAAGTAGTCTGAAGTCAGTGTTAACCTTTCTCTTCTTTTTTTTTTTTTTTGAGACAGGGCTTCTCTGTACAGCTCTGGCTATCCTGAAACTCTCTCTGTAAACCAAGCTGGCCTTGAACTCAGAGATCACATGCCTCTGCCTCTTGAGTGCTGGGACTAAAGGCGTGTGCCACTCCACCACCACGCATATCTTTCTAGTTTCTGGAACTTTAAAACAAAGGACCACATTTGGTGGGAGTTTCTCTGGGAGAAAGAAACAGTTGACATATTTCAGTTTTGTTATTTGATTTAAACTAATCACCCCAAATCTTTAAAAAGTACTAAGGGGTATGGGCCATAAGTAATTGGTATGCTGTGCACAGCAACTCTGTCAACTTCCTAACCCACCATTCACTTAATTATTGTGTCTTGAAAAGTATCCACTTGTACACATAGATGCATTGTTGGGAAAGAGGCATTTTGCGCTGACATCCCAGGCCTGAATCTGTACTATTGTTTCTCAGTCTGTATCTTTTTGCAAAACCCTGCAGCTAATTCCATATGTGGTAACCCAGCACGATATTTGGAAAGTGAAGTTGCAAGGCTGATACCTTCTTACACTGGGGAGTCCCTGGTTTACCTTCTGAAGCTGTGCAGGTGGGAAGGGACTGTTTTAAATCACAGCCCTGGGAATCAGAGATAGGGACACAAGAATATTATAGTTTGTAATGCTGAGCCAAGTATAAACTATATGAAGTTGGCTTATGTATGTAATAAGAAGGCAACTAAAGCGTTAAGAGTATGTGGACTTGGGGAATCTAATCACATTTGATCAATTATATCTAGATTCAGCCCTTAGCTTTTCTTTGCTCAGTGACCAAGTGTATTTTTTTTTCCTTTTTTAAAATTTTATTTAATGTGCATTGGTGTGAGCCTGTCAGATCCCCTGGAACTGGAGTTACAGACAGTTGTGAGCTGCCATGTGGATGCTGGGAATTGAACCAGGACCTCTGGAAGAGCAGCCAGTGCTCTTAACCTCTGGGCCCTCTCTCTAGCCCCCAAGTCTATTTTTTTAACTCTTAGAAAAAAATTCAGGAAAATACTTTCTTTAAAATCACCATTTTTGTAGTATGTATGCATATGTGTGTGTGTGTCTGTGCACGTGTGTGCATCCCATGATACAGCACATGTGTGGAGTCTGGAGGACAGCTTGGTGGAGTTTGTTCTCTTCTTCCCTGTGTGGGTTCTAGTGCTTGAACTAAGGCTGCAGGCTTGCAGGGCAGTTGTCCTCAGAGAATGCCCTTGTAATATGATCATTCTTTCTTTTAGAGGGAAGAAGTTTGGGAAGAAGCATATTGAAATCTTCACGGACCTCAGCAGCCCGTTCAGCCAAGATCAGCTGGATGTTATTCTTTGTAACTTGAAGAAGTTTGGCATCTCCCTGCAGTTCTTGTAAGATCCCGCCAATAATGGATAGGAAAACTCGGCATCCCTTATTCAGTGAGCAGGGTCCTGTGTAGATGCCCATGGAGTCTTCTCTGCGGCTGAGTAGGAATCTGCTGGGTGACTGATTGGACACCTTATGTGTATCCCCTAGACTGATCATGGAACTGTTCTGAGCTGTGGTGTTAAAGAGATAAATGAAATAGTGATACAGAGAAATTGAGCTCAATAGTAAATCACTGCTATTAGATCCAAAGAATGAAGGAATTAAAATAACCCAAAATATCTTTTGAGGTTATTTAGTTTATCTCCTGTCTGCATAGATGACATTGGCAGCCTGATAATTTTTTTTTTTTTTTTAACGTGGCTCAGAGAGTGATGACTACAGATAGTTGTAGATTGAGGATAGACTAAACTGTTATGTTAGGAATCAACTTATAGCACATAGTCTATGTTTAATCCTTTCTCAGGATGCAGACACATATTAAAGTGTAATTTGCTATGTGTATTATAAAATTTTACGAGGAAATGTGTATTTTATAGTTATAAGCAAGATTCACTCCTCTCACGGTAACTTGAATTTCCCCTCTAGCATTTACTTTATCTTACATCCCCACTAAAAGAATTCTTGCCACACTAATCCTTCCTGGTGCATTTAAAACCCATTTCTTCTTGTCCTATTTTTGGCCGAAGCAGAGTGATGATACAGGATGTTGAATTATTAATCTGATCAGGGACGTTCACTTTTCAAACTGAGAACTGCACTCAGAAGCCTTCAGTTCAGAGTGGTAAGCTGTTGGCCTCTTAGACAGCCCGCCACGGGGAATTAAGAACCTCTCTTGCATGCACACGTGTCCCTCTCCGACTGCTGAGGGACATCTTCCCATGGGACAAGAGTACAGAAGAGCCACCAAACTGCTTCTTGTTAAGATGGCACTTCAAGAAATTAAGTGCTTTTTAAGTGACATTTGGCACTGGGCTGAGGCTTTCTCAATGCTTCAGAAGGCCTGCTTGGCTCCGGTCCCCGCCCACAGTCTCAGGCTGCCTCGTGCTTGAACCATACTGTACCATACTTCTGCCAGTGTCATTTGAAAGAGCCACCTTCTCTGTCTTTATGTCTTACTTAGCACCACAGAGTACACAGAAGGGATGCGGTCTTTCTTCCACTTGCCTGTTTCTTGACTGATCGCATTCATTCTCTGGGATATGTTTTCTTTCCGTATTAAAAACTGCCACCTGCCGCTCAGTGTATTCTATGTACTGTCAGTTGCTTTAGCTTCCTTGAAAACATACTTGGTCCTCGGGCATAGGTCTTTTAGCTTCCTCTACTCTGGTCAAATGCAGAACAGAAAGAACCATTACTCTAACTTTCTCTAGGGTAAACTTCCATAAGCTTCACTTTCAAGTTATCTGTCTCTTGCTAGGTGATGCTGCAGTAACAGTAAAAATCTGCTGCAACCTCCTGTGCCGTGTGCATGGGGAGGCACTTTAGTCTAACACCGGCCATGCGGCTCTCTCATGCTAAGTAAATAAGGGAAGGGGTTACGCAAAAGCCATAGGTATAGCAAGCAGAATGCTTGCCTTTAAGCCTCCATCCACGTAGGGGTGGCCTCTGGAGTATTGGGTGGACTGAAAAAATTACCTAAATCAGCCATCTGTGTTTGCAGGAATAAAGTAAGGTTGAAGGCTATATAGCACAAGAGCTTCTCCCTGTTGGTCAGATGACTGAGCAGCTCTGGGCCAGTTACTTCATCTCAGCTGCTTTAGTTTCTTTTCAGAAAACGGAAACAGAAATCTCCACTGAGTTAGGATATGAGAAATCAGTGCTTTTGTTCAGGTGAATGCGTTTCTAAAGTGCCATAGATGGTACTATCTTAAATGCATTTGGGTGTTTTTTTTCAGTTTGCATATGGATTGTTTAAATGTTTTAAAATTAATTTTTATTTTCTATGTTTGGGTGTTTTGTTCACATGTATGTCTGTGTACCACGTATGTGCCCTGTGCCTGTGGAGACCAAAAAGGGTATTGCATCCCCTGGAGTTACATATGGTTGTAAGCCTCCAGGTCGGTGCTGGGAACCAAACCTGGGTCATCGGCAAGATTAATAAGTGCTTTAACTGCTGAGCCATCTCCCTAGCCTCTGACTGTATATAAATGTTTTCTGGTTAGTAATTCTAACCTAGATTTAGCCTCATATCAAACAAATAAGTAGAGCAAAACAACAGAATTGGATTTTATTTCTGTCTAGGAATGTTCTGATTTTTGTATAAGATTTTAATGTCTACAATAGCATTTGAATTTTAAGTATTTTATGTTTTACAACCTCCTACTATTGCTGTTATTTACAGTGTTGGATTCAGGGCCTCATGCATGCTAGGCTATCAATCAGTCTACTCTGAGCTACATCCTCAAATTCATCCCGTCTTATATTAATAAGAGAAATGTGTAAATTTCTCCTATATTTATAAGATTCCCAGAGAAACCCTGAAGGATCGTTGGTAGCTTCCCCGGCATTCTGCTGTGATTAGTCTAATGCCTGGACTTGTTCTAGGAGGCATTTCTTGTTGAACCTTAACCTTTGGCTTTAGTGACCTTCAGTGAGCTCTTCTAGGTCTCTTCTTTAGACTGTTGATTCCTGATATTTTTATAAGTTTGAAATCAGAGGGACTCAGTATTTACTGAGTCTTTCAGGAGGGCGTACTGTGGGACCCGCTGTGACACTACACAGTTTCCATCATGAGATGTGTTCTATTGTTGTAGAAAATTGGCTATTAATATTTACTTAATATTTGTACTATTTTATTTATATCGATTATATAATTAATATTTAATGTTTACTGTTAATACTATTAATTTACTATTAATATTTACTATTTTTATGGCAGTTATTATTTAACCTGTTACCATATCAATAAAAACACAGACGCCTGTTAGATGTGGGGCAGATATGAACCCCCTAAGCTACCTTGTTACCTCTCAGCCCCATGCCATTTGCTCTGATAATTCCCAGCTGGACTGCTTCCCATCCGGTATCCCATAAATACTTCCACATGCTTCTCATCTGGGATGCTTCTCTCCATCACTGATCCTCAGAGCAGACTCCTTCTGGCCGTGTGATATTTGTTCACGCTGATCCATGGTGACTCTGCTCTCTCTTTCTCCTCTCCTATCTCTCTCTGTCCCTCATCTCTCTCCCCTCCCCGTGATGCTTCTGTCCTCCAAGCCTTCAAACCTTAGCTCCGCCTACCCCTTGTCTGCCCTGCCCAGGTGTAGGCATTTATTCAGCCAATCAGGGATAATTTGGAGGCAGAGTTACACAGTATCATTTTGGTTATGTGAGGGTTTGCTCTGAGAACAGTAAGAATCTCAGGAGATTAATTAATCTCAATTAATTAAATACAAAGCACCAGATCATGCCATAACATTCTATGCTTTGTTTTGTTCATTAATTTATTTTTGTTGGTTTGTGTGTTTTTTCTTTTGTGGGGCAGGTTGCCAGGGGATGGGGAGATGAGTTGGGATTAGGGTACATAATGTGAAATTTACAAAGAATCAATAAAAGGTTAAGCCCCCCACCCTCCAAAACCCCCAACCCAACCAAAGTAAAAACATCCTGTCCTTCTTAGGTAGTAGAGTTGGGCAACATGAGCTTGTCTCAGATTCCTGTTGCTGTGACAATACAGGTGAGGTAATTTATAAAGGGAAATCTGAGCTCACAGTACCAATGCAAATTTGGTGTTCTGTGGGGCATGTCTGCCTCCCAGACGATGCTGTGGCTTCACATGACAGGAAGACAGAAAAAGCAGCGGGGCACTTAGGCCCCTGCTCACCATCATGATCACCTGCTGACCACTCCCGTACTTAAATTTCAATATAAGAGACTTGGAGGCACAGACCGTACTAGAGCAGTGTGGGAGAGGTCATTCTGAGAGAGCAACAGCAGATGAGGTGAGCCGTGGAGATGTAGTGAGAGGCTCTCAGGACCTGGATGGAGCCGTCCTGTTGCCACACAGAGAGCCCTGCCTTTTCAGTTATTTGGTTGTGTCAGCCAGTCTCTCCTTTTTCTCAAATCAAAGGAGTATTAGCTGTTTAAAGGTGAAATACTACTCGGGTAGATGCATGTCACTTGACATATAAAATTACAGAGCTGTGGAATTTTGCCCGACAGGCAAGCATCTTCCTCGTTGGTAGTAACAGTCACAGATTTGGAATCCAGATTTGGAACCAAAGCTCATCTTCTTTACTGGTGATCTTTTCTTATAGTCTACCTTTCCCGGTTGGCAAGAATGAGGAGACTGGAAACAGAGGAGATGGCACCTCTGGCTTGGAGCACCAAGGACCTTCTTTCCCTCAAAAAGGAATTACTGAGCAGCAAAAGAGAGGCATCCGTATGGTGAAAAGGGTGATGATGTCTTTAGATGGTGAAGATGGACTGGAAGAAATTTATTCCTTCAGGTAGGAAGTGGAGACACCGGCGGCGACTTTGAATCTTTCCACCTGGATTTCCTTGATCAGAGGTCTCCTTAATAATTTTCTTCGTCTGAGCCATTCTTGACTTAGCAGTCATTCTGTAATAAGTGTTCTGAATTTTATTAGAGAAGTCACAAGCTCACCCTTCATCTGCCTTTTATTATTTTGTATGGTTTGCACAGGGTTCTCATTTATTTCCAGACATCTGCCAGCCACTGAAGTTTGGGAGTATGTAGATGCCTTAGAGATGGGGTAGGAGATTTCATTTTTGTTCTAAGCTTGGGGCACAATTTTTGGACCACTCTGTTCATACATTTACAAAACCCATTGTTTTTATTTTTAAGTTCTTTTCCTAGGATATATTGATTATAGGTAATAATTGTTTTGTTGTGTCTTTTTCATTTATGTATGTTATGTCTTTTGACCATTTCACCCCATTCCCCCCTCTTGTCCTCCTTCTTGGTGATCCTGCTGATCCCCTCCTTTTCCCTGTATTCCCCGCCCCCCACTTTTTTTTTTTTTTTTGAGTTTACCCGGTGAGGGCTGTTTATAGGAGCATGGGTGAGAGATTACTTACAGACAGTGACCGATATACCAGGGGTTATGCTCCTGAAGAAAATGCCTCTTCTTTACCACACCAAAAAAAGAAAATATCTCTTCCTTCCTTATAAACAGTTAACTGCCTATAAATCTTCTGGGAGGGGGGGACTTGCAGCCCCTAACCCCCCCACCCCCTGCAGTTTGATAACAGGCCCAGTCTTGTGTGACTGTAAGACAGCGTTCTGCAACATTCCACTCTTCCCCTGCCTTTTACGTTTTTTCTGAGCCGTCTTCTACAGTGCTCCCTGAGCCTTGTTAGGGCCTAATGTAGCTGTCCCTCTGAGGGCTGAACGTCCAAGCACCTACTCTTAGCACTTGGACCAGTTGCAGTCCTACCCGTAGTCATTGCCACCTACGACAAAAAGATTTTCTGACCGAAGCTGACATAGCACCACTAATCCAGGCACGAAAACATCAGTGTTAAGAAGTCAATTTGAAGGAGCTATCTGGAGAGGTAGCTCAGTGGTTAAGGGTACTTCCTGCCCTTCAAAAGGTCCTGAGTGTGTCCTCGTATGCATATACCCAAACACAGACACAGTCACAGACACACAATTATTAGAAGAGGGACGTCATGTCCATTTAGCAAAACACTGGTGGCTTCTCTTGCTAGGGCCTCTGCCCTCTATTGCCATGGGCTTTTGACTACGTTTGCACTACTAAATGTGCTCTTTTTCTGTTGACTGGACCTTACCTTCAAGCATGGGGGTTTGGTTGCCATAATAGTCTTGCTTCTGTTACACTCGTGGGCCTGTTGGGTTGGTACTGCAGTACCCAGAGACCATATGGTGGATGGTAAGACTGTTCGTGACAGTTCTCCCAGCAGTCTGCATAGCACCTTGCAGTACTGGGAAAGTGAGACAGTGGAGGACAAGCTTCGAGCTCAGCGCTGGCGTCCTCTCTATGCTCAGCAACCAAAGCACACGGTGCCTTCTGCAATAGGGTCTTGCCACCCAGTTCTGTTGTGCAGCACACAGTGGTGGCAAAAGCCCTATTGTTTGGGGGATCTCGGGAGTTTCCCTTACCAGGAACTCACACTAGTAATCTGCCTGGGGGATTTGGTAATCTGTGACTTCTGGGACAGCTTTATCACCCAAACAGGAGACCTGGACCTCCCCACTCAGACTCTTAAAAGTCCTGTCTTCTAATTAGCTTACAGAGCAGCAGGTTTCCTGATGTCTCATTAGAAAGACTTTTAGAAATTTTTAAAAAATTTTATTTATAGTGTGTTTTGCCTGCACATATGTAGGTCCACATGCATGGCCCTTCCCCACAGAAGACAAAAGAAGGCATTGGATCTCCTTGAACTGGAGTTACAAATGGTTGTGAGCCACCATGTGGGTGGTTAGGAATTGAACAAGGGTCCTCTGCAAGAGCAGCCAGTACTCTCACTCCCTGAGCTGTCTCTCCAGCCTTCTTAGAGCTTTTCATGCATTGTTAGTTTGGGTTGACTCTCCCATCTCTTTGCCAACCATCTCTACTTTAAACATTTCCGCCTCTAGTGTTTATCTTTCCATCTTCATATTATATGTCTTGATTTATTCACACACACACACACACACACACACACACAAACACACACAGAGAGGAGATGTAAACTCATTTCTCACATATACAGACATATATAAAATTTAGAGGTGGGCTGAATACATTGCTCAATGGTTAGAGTACTGGCTGCTCTTCTGGAGGATGTGGGTATAATTCCCAGCATCCGCATGGTGTCCCACACCTGTCTGTAACTCCAGTTCCAGGGGACCTGACAACCTCACACATGCATACATGCAGACAAAACAACAATGCACATAAAAATAATATAAATAAAAATTAGAAGCCAGGATCCATCTGTGAGTGAATATGTATTTATCTTTCAAATAAGTTATTTCACGTAATGTACTTTTCAATACTGTTCACTTTCTTGCAGATTTTATAATTTTCTTTAAAGGTGAATAAAATTCTCTTGTGCATGTATGCTACATTTTCATTATCCATTCGTAAGTTGATGGTCATGTAGGCTGGTTCCTTTCCTTACAGTTGGGACTAGAATAGCAATCAACACGATGTGCATGTATCTCTGTCGTAGGCTGCAGAGTCCTTTGGGCCCAGGCATGATGTAGCTGTGTATTTCCTAACCTCCACATTAGTTTCTGTAGTGGTTGTACCAGCATGAACCATTGTCAATTATGAAAAATGGTGTCATGTTGGAGACTGTCATTGTTCCTTTACTTTCTGATACAGGTTTTGGAGAGCATCATGGGAAGGTATAATACAGATTTTTATTTGGGGCTTTTTTTTTTTTTCCCTGACTTTAGATCATTAAATAGTTTGACCAAGTCCTGTTACAACAAATAAACAAACAGAACCCCTCTCTTATAGCTGTAAATAACCCAAACACCCAAAGTCCAAGCTCAAATGTAAAGAATTCAAAGCAGTATCATTACGATATTGGTTTTATGAAGGGAGAACGTTCATCTTGGTGTTGATAAGGCAAATGATTTTTTAAAGAATGAAATCCCTGGCCAGGGGGTTGTGGCATATGCCTTTAAGAGGCAGGGGACAGATGTCCAGTCTGGTCTACAGAGTGAGTTCTAGGACAGGCAAGGCTACACAGTGAAACCCTGTCTTGAAAAACAAACAAACAATGAAATCCCTGAAGTACCATTAACAATAAAAGAAACTGCTTTTACCATCTCTCCATAGATACTGTGGGAGAGACCATCTCTGTTATCTGTATTATTCCTGGTTAGAGTTGGATACACACTTATTTTGAGCAAAGAATCTGGGAGGTTTATATTGGATGTATTGTCACTGGTCTGAAGAGTCAAACTGTGGTTATGCAATAGTTTGTGCATTCAGACTCTCGGGGACAATGCTGCCTTTGTTTAGGAATTAATTCCATTCATCTGTTGATAACAAATTGCAGGAGTATAAACAAAGTTCTCAGTTGAAGTAGGTCAGCAATTGGCATTTTTATGCGTAGCAACAGTCTACATCTGTTTTTTTTGCAGCTACAGTTTTTAAGTATTTCTGGAGATCTGTAATTGACAAGAAATACATCCTGATTTTGTGAATATGGAAACCCCTGAAATTATCAATAAATTGGAATGAAATTATGATTTTCCAAAGGGTCATCAAAGAAGTTAGCAAGGAATCCTATTAAGTGAAACATCTCAACATACTGTGTGTTCTTGACACACTGTGTATAGATGTGTGTTAAGTTGTTAAGTTGTTAAGTGTCTATATGTGTGTTAAGTTGTTTTTCTCTGAACTTTGGGAATACATGCCTTAAGCTAACATGTTATGAGCTAGTACAAATTTACCATTTGAAAATTATCTCCTTTTCCCCTCAGCAAGCAGATAAATTATTGACTGTGTATGTCTTAGTACTTTAAACTCGTTTGATTTTGGGACTTCCACGTAGAGCTTTGTCATTCAAATACAGTGACTATTTTTAGTTACGTCGATTATAAATAAGTGGATTTTCAAAATTAGTTTCTCTGACACTGTACGTACATGATCTTTGTCCTGGTGATATAGAAATAAAAACTAAGAGAAGAGACTGACCTTTCAGGCAAAATTTTTAATTGGAAAGAAACAGGATGTGGGAACTTACATAAAACAATTAAAAAAATTCTCCTGGTGCAAATCCATACCTCATGATGGTTGCCATGGATGGACTAATAATGTCTCACGAGACAGCTTAGACCTGGTGCAGACATAGTCAGTCTTTACAAACCCATAGTCAAGGTGTACTATGAAATTGGGAAGCAGGCAGAACAGCTTCTGATGCTGTAACATGGTTTTGAGGATTGGACTCTGCTGAGGCCTCTCTGCCTCTCACTTGGTGGGTAATGTAAGGTAGTTTTCTACCACTTCATAGATTCTTCTTTCATCTGTACCAAGGACATCAGCCATAAGGCCTGGACTGCACACTTTGTGTATATTAGACTATTAATTCTTTTACTCTTTGTCTTAATGAGTGATTCAAATTCCACCTCTCCTATAGCCCTTTGTTGTGTTTGTTTGGGAGAAGATAAAACTAGACTTGAATTTCACCTTTTTTGTTTTGTTTTTTCAAGACAGGGTTTCTCTGTGTAGTCCTGTCTGTCTTGGAACTCACTTTGTAGTTCAGACTGGCCTCAAACTCAGATCTGCCTGTCTCTGCCTCCTGAGTGCTGGGATTAAAGGTGTGTGCCATCACACCTGGCTAAATTTCACCTTTGGTTAAGTGAAGCATTGCTCTGTTACATTTATCTTCTTTCTGCCCTTCTCCCATTAAAAACAAAAAACAAAAAACCTGTATAGTTTGTATAGTTTCCTACTTTACATAAAGACCAAGAGATTACTGATTCCTTTATCCCCTTGGTGGTAGTATTTATGTAACTCTGTCTGTGGTGCACATATAAAAACATCATGTCTTTTATTTAGGGGAATCTGCATTGACTGATGGATCATGCTCAGTGGTGCTGTAGACTGGGTGCCCTGCCTGGTGATCGCAGAGTGGGGCTCGTACTCTCCTGTCTGATGTTTTCTGGGAGTGTGTGAGCACCTTACATTGTGTGCCAACTCATTGGTGAATGTGCTTTTCTCTTCTCCTCAAAGGTTTCCTTGGTCCAGAATAAGTGGTAGAAATCACTGGGAGAGATGAAAGAAATCCTTGACTAGATGAGGGCAGAGCAGTTCCTTTTCTCATGACAGGAAAGTGACTGGAGTTCTACTACCTTACAAGCCAGCTAGCTCACTTGTCTCTGGCTCCTTCCCAACCATGGTTGCCATTTTCCTGCCCCCCACCCTCTAGCTGTTTCTTTCTCTCTCTCTCTCTCTCTCTTTTTTTTTTTTTTCCTTTTCATGACAAAGCCCTGGCACTCACTTTGTAAACCAGGCTTATTAGATCTACCTGACTGACTTCCGAGTGCTGCTATTAAAGAGATGCTCACCACACCCTGAAACAGGCGGATTTTTAAAAAGGGAGTCAGGGACTGATCCCGATTGATTTGCTAACGTAGCTGAGCAAACGGATACTCAGTAGGAAGGCAGAGGGTATGCATGTAGCAGTGACCACTACGGAACTCCAGTCATTGAGGCAAGCTCTACTGGTGTTAGCGAAAACCCTGCCATCTCAATGTAGCACACCTCCGACACTCAGAGGCTCACTGGCCAAGACTGGCCTCCACCCTGAGCTACAACAGTGTGTACTGTTTCTCTATTTTGACAATCAACACGAGCTCACTTTCTATTCTAGTGAAATAAGTAAACCATCTAGTCCAAATTAACATTTGAAAATTGTGTCTTTCATGATGTGTTTTCCTTTATTAAGTGAGAGTCTACGGCAGCTGTGTGTCTTTAAGAAGCTTGAGAGGCGTTCCATGCCCTGGCCCTGCCAGCTGACCATCGGCCCCAACTTGTCTATAAAGATTGTAGCTTATAAATCGGTAGGTGGTAAATGCATGTTTTTTTAAAAAGCAGTGTTCCCGGGTAGATAAATAGGCTTATGTAAGAAGCTGACAATCCATGTGTGAGTTATTCAGGGTATAATTGCTGCCTCGCTAGCTGTTCTTCCTTTTGATTTAATCTCTGGATAGCTTTTCATCTAAAAGGCACAAGGGGAGAATTGTTTATAATACGGCTTAATTCCCTCCTCTTCCTCTTTTGCTGAGTTGATAATTGATTGTTAATCAGGAATTCAGGCCTTTGTCTCTTTTTCTTTTAGAAGGAAGAAAATGTGATGGATTAACTTGTCATAGCAGGGATGTTGATAATTCACTAGAGTTATGTGTAAAGCGTGGAGACATGGTCATACCTAATTCACCCATCCAATAGTACTAGCACCTATAGGATGTAAAAAAATGTTGACTTGTAGCTAGGCATGGTGGCACATGCCTTTAATCCTAGCACTCAGAGAGGCAGAGGCAGGCAGATCACTGTGAGTTCAAGGCCAGCCTGATCTACAGAGCAAGTCTGGGACAGCCAAGGCTGCCTGGAAAACAGAGAAATCCTGTAACAACAACAACAAAAAAGTTGACTTGTTAGTGTCAGGTTGCGTGTCATTACTCACATGCATTTTTACAGCATAGGTCACTTTGAAAAGTCACTCGCCTTCGGCAGTTATTTCAATCCCAGTCTGAGCGGAAATCTGATCTACACTTCAGTATAATTTTGTTTGCTTCTCCCCCTCCTTTAAATGTATGCTGAAAATATAATTAAATCTGAGAAATAAATATACAGACATATTTTTGTATGTCTGAGAACTTAATACCCAAACATATCATGAGAACCGTGGAGGTAATTTTGAGTTATTTTGGTTTCTACCAAGGCCAGAAGAGTGCTCTGTCAATGTCTCATTTTTTTCAGTTTCCTTTGTTGGCTTCTCCCTTTCTTTTTGGCTGTGGTAAAATGAACGGTCCCTCATTATTAGGCAATTTGAGGGTTTTTCTATAGGAAGTGTGTATTATTCAGAAATCAATATGTGCCTATAGATTACCAAAGGAGAAAAGGGGAGTATAGAGACAGTTTGAAGGTATTCCCCTTTGAATTGAATTCAAATGCACATAACAGGAAAGAAGAGGCTTAAATGCTCTAGCTAGAGTAATTGTTCAGAGGGTATGTTAGATTTCTATTTTCTGCCAGTCAGTATCCTGTCTATTCTTATTTTCCCTTTATCTGTCTTTTGAAATTAGATTGTACAGGAGACAGTTAAAAAGAGTTGGATAGTTGTGGATGCCAGAACCCTAAAGAAGGAAGATCTACAGAAAGAAACTGTGTATTGCTTAAATGACGATGACGAAACTGAGGTTTCCAAAGAGGACACCATTCAAGGTGTGTTAACAAGTGACTGCACTCCTGTCCAGGAAAGGTTTGCTCTTGGGGGCTGGGAGGCCGCATAGGTTGTCCACCTAGAAGTGGTCCTTTGAGTTCCAGATGTGCAGCGGAGGTGAGACACTGGTTCCTCTAGGTCAGTGGGGAACTCGGGCTCCTGGGAAGGACCTGTGTGCTTGAGCCTTCTAAATTTAAATGTGCCAGGTGTCAGGACTTGCACTTGGCTTTATTCTAATGTGCAGATTCACTCCCTGGGAGGACGCTTACAAAGCAGCTGAAGCAGCTTTCCCCCAAGTGTCAGGATTCAGGTTTTATATCCTACCGGCTATGCTCACTTAGGGGAAAAGATTATTTGTGATTGTTGTCATGGCTTATACACACAAGGCTCTTTAAAGCTCTGCTAAATATACCCCACCCATTTGGCTTAAATAGTATGTTTAGATGGCATCTTTATCCAGAAGGACTTGGAAACTAGCTGAGAATATCTGAATATTCAAGAACTCAAATCCTCAGATGCCAAATGATGCTTAAGATGGCAGCCAGGGTGCTTAGAGCAACTTATTACCAGGGTATGCACTACTTAGTATAGTTTTAATTTCCCAGTCCTGGAAAAAAAATGCACGTATGGTGTTGTATCTCACTGCATGTATTTAAGTCTGAGGGAGTGGGAGAGTTTGAAGCTTCGAGTGGATTGAACTATATGCAGAATATAATTAATACTTTACAAGGACCCTGAGTAAGGACTAGGCCAGGCTCAAGGGGCTGTGGTGTGTCATAAGTGGCAGCCTATATTTTCTCTTAATTTTCACAACCTAACGAAGCAGACACTGTTGCTGTTTCTGTTTTACACAGAAGGATTGTAGTAGTTACTTTTCTTATTGCTTTGACAAAAGCAGCTTAAGACAGGAGAGGTTTGTTTTGGCTCAGGGTTTGAGGGTCCCACCTACCAGGCAGGGAAGAGAGGTGTGAGGCCACTGGCTTGCATTGTGTCTGCAGTCAGAAAATTAGAGCCCAGCTCATTTTCTCCCTTTTGTTCAGTCCTGGAGCCCAGCCCATGAGGTGCTGCCATCCACATTCAGGGTGGGTTTCCTCACCGCAGCTAACCCAGCGTTGGAACTTTGTCACAGGTGCATCCAGGTGTGTTTCCATGGTGATTCCAAATCCCATCAAGTAGATAATCAAGATTGGACCAAAGCGGGAAGACATTCATTAACAGGAAGTCACACAGTAGCTGCGCACGGGCACAGAGTTAGGTCTGGAGCTGCCTTCCTCCAGAGTCTGTGCTCCTCCATACTGTTCAGAACTAGGACCAATGCTAGACTCAAGAGTTTATGCATGATTTTAAAAGCAAATGGAGCCATTGATGGTTAAGGAGATTGGTCGGTAGTGTTTAGGAGTGTTCTGTTAGGGACGTAAGTGTGACAGCTCATTAGAAAGAGGAGGGACTAGAGGCGAGGGGGCCAGTTCTTGGAGTTGTTGCAAGAAAACTCTATTATGTGGGACAAAAATCTTTTTGTGGGGGGTACAGTTGAAGGGGAAGTGTTATACGCTCTCTGGGTCGTGGAGTATGGAAGCTCTTCTGTTCTCCATTACCCCTTTACACTTAGGCACTGCCTTCCTTTGCCTGTCCCCCATTGTCTGTTCACTAATGTGTGTGTTGTCCTCTTTCTTACCTACAGGATCTAGTAGATACAAGTGAGCCAAAGACTATGTGTACTGTAGAGTCTGTTCTTTACTCCCTGCCTTGTAGAAAAGTTACTCGCACTTTAAGTAGAAGAGCCAGAAAACAGGCAGTCTTAACACTTTTAAGATACTGTTAATTCAAATAAGAAAATGATTGATGATAAGAAAAATTTAGAAAAAAATACTTGGCTTAGGGTCTGGGGGATGGCTTGGTGAGTAAAATCTGCTGTGCACGCAGGCATGGGCTGGGCGTGGTGGCCCATGTCTTTAATCCCAACACTTGGGAGGGAGAGGCTGGTGGCTCTCTTGAGTTTGAGGTCAGCCTGGTCTACATAGTCAGTTCCAGGACAACTGGGGCTACACAGAGAAACCCTGTCTTGAAAAACCAAAAATGAACAAATAAATCCAGCCAGGCGTGTCAGTACACAACACCTGTGACCCCAGTGCTGGGGTCATGGAGACAGGGGGATCCCTGGGGTTTGCCTGCCAGTCAGCCTTCCTGAAATGGAGGGCCCCTGGCTCGGTGAGAAGCTCTGTCTGAAAAAGAAGGTGGAGAACACAAAGGAAGGCGTATGACGTCAACCTCTGGCCTGTACACGGACTCCCAAGTGAGCATACCTGCATGCGCACACGCACACACGTGTGTATAGCCTCTCCTCCCTGCATACAAGTGACTGGGGAAGAAAAAGAAAACTGTTTGGTTTAGATGCCACTTTCTTCATCATGTGCCACGCGTTTCCCTTTTGAGTTTTGTATTGGAATTTTTGAATCCATTTTCATCTTTAAAAAAAAAAAAAGCCATGCATGAAAACTGAAATTGCTGTCTTCCTTATTAACTCCATGACCCCAGCAGCCTAACAGGAACGAGCAGACACTGGGCCACAGAATCTTCCTTGGTTCTCCCATGTCCCTTGGGTTTTGATGATCCTTGCTGCAGTCCCATGGAAGAGACGCTGGGCACTGCAGGAGTGCAGCCTTCCGGAGAGCAGATGCAGTAAACAGGGTCAGGGTTTTTGCTTTTTGGTTTTTTTCACTGGGCTGGGGGGTGGGGCGGGGGAGAGCATATGAACCTGCATTTACCCAACGTAACACACTGAAAATAAAAACAACCAAACTCTAGTAATAGGATAAATTCACATCCGGAAAAGTGTAGAGCTTGTCAATCGTATGCTTTTAAATGGAGTTTGGCTTCAGTTAGGTGGTGGAAGGTTTGTCTATTTTGAGCATGTGTGTTTGGATGTTTTGTTCTGAAGATTTCCGGTGGGCCATTTTCTCTGTGGTTCTCTGGGTTTCTGAATAAATGTGCTAAACGTGCTTTTGATTATGTTTACAACTCATGCTTGTTCTGTAGTCAACTCGGTTGTCTTCAGAGGATAAGTGATGTGCTCTGTCTGCGACAGTCTTCTCCCGTGCTGGGTAGTCATTAAGGTAACTAGATGGCAGAAGCTGCAGGTTTAAAAATGTAATCAGGCTTTAATCATCTGTATGTGGCATGCGGCTTGTTTCTGCCTCTGCTTTCCCCTCCGTTCGTCACAGGGGCAATGATTTGTTCCCAGGGAGCAGAAGAAACTGGCTCTGGAGTTCATGTGTTGTTGATGTATGCGCAGCTTGTTTCAGACCCCATAAGCCTAACAGGTGCTCTGCTCTCGTTCTCCAGGTTTCCGCTACGGAAGCGATATAGTGCCTTTCTCTAAAGTGGATGAGGAACAAATGAAATATAAATCGGAGGGGAAGTGCTTCTCTGTTTTAGGATTCTGTAGATCTTCTCAGGTACAGCAGCCACTCTGCCGTGGTGGACAAAATGCATGCCTTGAGCTTTTGATTGGTTGTTTTATTTACAGCTCATACTGACTTCTCACTCACTCTTCTAAAATGTAGAATGTTAATTTGTGTGGTGTGTGGATGTTTGTATGCATGTATCCATATGTGTGTGGAGGTGAGGGGACAGTCTCAGGTGTGTATTCCTCAGGCACTATCCAACGACTTTTTGGAACAGGGTCTTTCAATGTCCTGGTACTTGTCAAGTTGGCTTGGCTGGCTGGTCAGTGAGCCCCAGGGCTCTACCTGTCTCCTCACAGTGCCAGGATTGCAAGCATATGGCACCACAGCAGGCTTTTTTAGAGTATTGGTTCTGGGCCTTGAACGCATGTCTCCATGTTTGGAGTTTGAGCTGTCTCCCCAGCCCATCATCTTTGATATCTGAAAAGAAAACCCAAGATTTAGAAAATAAGCATAAATCAGAAGAGTAGGTTCACAAAGTCACTTCCTCACTACTTGGTTCTTGACAGTTGTTTTGCTTACTAAAGCTTTTATAGATAAGGAGTCTACCTGAGGTTTGAACATCAGTTAAATCTTAGGATAGCATTTCTCTATTTTTAACATTTTTAAAAGAATAATTTTTTTACTATGTGTGTGTCTCTGTGGCTGTGCGTGGGCATATGTACATGAGTGCAGAGGATCAGGAGGGCAGAGGAGTCAGGTCCCCCTACAGCTGGAGTTACAGGCAGTTGTGGGTCACTCAGGTCCTCCATAAGAGAGGGATGTGCTTAGCCGCTGAGCCATCGCCACGCTCCGGAATATCATTGATTTATGAGTGATCACCTTTTCCTTCAATTTCTGGTGTAGGGTTCTAGGATCTGAACCTTGTCTGTAAGTCACATGAATTTTAGGCACTAAAGTGCAGATTCATGAAGTAGACACAAGGGGAAGTACAGCAGTCTACCATGGGATCCATACTCTCCTAGGAAGCATTGCTCAAAGATTCGCAGAGATCTCAGGTTCACTGTTCTTGGGGTAGACTGCAAATTGATGACCATAGTTTATTATTATTATTTTTTGGTGTCTTGAGAGAAGGTTTCTCTGTGCAGCCTTGGCTGTCCTAGACTTTGTAGACCAGGCTGGCCTTGAACTCACAAAGATCTGCCTGCCCCTGCTCTCAGAGTGCTGGGCATGCGCCACCATGTCCAATTGGATGAAGAGATTTTTAATGGAGAACTCATGTGGGAATTATAATGGAAATAAATACTATCCAGTAGTCTGTGTTTGTGTAGCTGTAGCACACAAGCCTTATGTACTTCAGTGTTAGGTTAATTCAGTGAGGCTTAGGAGACTTGCTTCTATGATTACCCATACTGTTACAAGTATCTTCAAATCATACAAGCCAAGGCCTGGAGAGATGACTCGGCAGTTAAGAACATGAACAACTCTGCCAGAGGACTGAATTTGGCTCCCAATTGCCCATTATTCCAGTTCAGGGGGATCTGGCGCCCTCTTCTGGTCTTCAGGGGCATGCGTATACATGGCATACATTTACACCCACACAAATAAATCTTTAAAAAACAAACAAAACAAACCTCTTTAAGCCAAAAAGTGGGCAGACCTACCTAAAATCTCTAATGTACCGAAATGGTATGTACTAAGTGAGCATGACTACTCTTTGGAAGTTTAGAGAATCCTAAAGTTATTTCCATTGCAAAGTATGTAAAGTTAAAACTTACGATTATTAATGGCAATACTTATAATCTTGAGTGAAACTAATCTTATTTAGACAATTTGTGGAACCTGTCTCCCCTTTAAAAAAGATCTATTTTTATTTTTTACTTTGACGTGCATGGGTGTTTGTCTGCGTGTATAATTGTGTACCATGTGCATGAAGTGCCTGCAGAGACCCAGAGATGGTTCTGGGTCACTGGAACTGGAGTTACGGATGTGAGCTGCCATGTAGGTGCTGGGATTTGGACCTGGATCCTCTGGAAGAGCAATCAGGGCTTTCAATCACTGAGCCATCTTTCCAGCCCTTCTCTCCCTTTTTTGGAGACAGATTTCAGTGTGTATTCTTAGTTGGCCTAGAACTTGTTATGAGACCAGGCTGGCCTTGAACTCAAAGAGATCTATCTGCTTCTGCATTCCAGTTTCTGGGATTAAAGATGTGTATCACCATATCTCTCTGAAACTGCCCTTTTTGCCTGTGTTTAGATAGACAGACAAGCCCCTTACCCCATACATCTTTAGTATAATTCAGAATTGTAAATTCTGAAGTTACCTGTTCTAGGCTGGAAGTGAGGACCTATTTTAGCTAAATAACAAAGAAAAACAGGATGAACAGTGTAAAAAAGATACATATTTCTTTTTAAAAGATTTACTAACTTCAAATTTTACTTTTAAAATCATTAAGTGCTTTCTAAATCAACTTTTTAACTTCTAAATCATTTTTATTTTATTGATTTTGCTTTTGAAGGAGGCAAGTACTTTTGTTCAAGTCTGGGCTTAAGAAAATGGGCAGAGACTGTCCATCTCAAAGAGAAGAATCCCCCTGTTCCCCAAAGTCAAAGAAGAGTCTCACAGGTTTCCTGAGATGGGATGACCCCAGGCGTCACAGATTCAGACGTATCATTTGCTCTTCAACCAGCAGCCAGGCAGGGCCACACTCAGCTTTGTCTTAAAGTTCTGTCTCAGTCAAATATCATGAAAATATTATAGTTATAACTACCCTTCAGTGAGTAATTACAGTGTTCCAGGCAATGTAAGCACTTGATAAAAATTCTCAGTTATTATTACCCCCTCAGGCATGTACTATTGTATGCATTTTTTTAGATAGGAAAATGAGGATAAGCCTCATTATGTAACTAGCCCGCCATCTTTTTATCTTTATTTATTTATTTATTTTTACCCTTTTCCCAAAATGTTTATTTAGTGCCCACTGTGTGCCAAATGCTAACTGAACAGATTAGAGTGGTGCGGCTGAGAAAGAGGTCTCGGGGCCTCTGCTTTTGGGACGACCTGAGCCCGACATCTTACAGTGCAATGAGAGTGGACACGGATTTTGCCGTCATTTAGTGGCACACTCGCCCTGTGAACTAGCATGGTTCTGAACGGCCCACCATACATACCTGCTTTCATGCATTACCCTAACCAGAGACCACAAGGTGCTAAACGTAGTATTTGCCCTGGGGGATATGACAAGATACAGACAGGCCCCTTTCAACAGGCCGGTGCTTCTCATTTATCTTAAATAAAGTCACATGGTCCTCCGTACTGTCTTCAGCTGGACTGCTGACGAAATACCATTTGTGGAATGGATTGGTGTGAACTATTTTTGTGCTTGCATGGTGACTGATTGTTTTCTAGTCAAGTGCACTACTACGCCCCTGTATGTGTGTGTGTGTGCTGTTTACTTTAAAATATGAAGCGGTTTTTCAGTTCTCCTGCCAAGTTGTCAAGTAGTCTATGTATATAGTTATAAGACAGAAAAGGCTGTAGTAATTCACTTCTTTTCAGATTCCTGGCTGTTCTTTGAAAAAGTGTACTAGGAAAAGGTATACTAGGAAAAGATGTCATTAGCTATTTCTTAAAGATTTGTTTTTATTTTTAATTGTGTGTGTTTGTGTGTGTGTGTGTGTGTGTGTGTGTGTGTAGGTATGTGTATGTGAATGGAGCTCAGAGGTGTTAGATCCCCTGTAGCTAGAGTTTTAAGTGGTTGTGAGTCACCTACGTCAGGAAAGTGCTGGGAACCAAACTCCAGGACTTTGCAAGAGCAGTATGGGCTCTTAACTGCTGAGTCGTCTCTCCAGCCCTTATTGGCTAGCGACTTGTTGAATAAATCAAAGACTATTCTAAATTCTAACAGAGTAAGTAAATCTCTGTGACTGTGCTGTGCTGGATGTATTGGGTTATTCTTGCATGCCTTAGAACCATCGTTTTCAACTGGGAAATGGAAGTAGAAATGAGGACCTCACACCTTTGAAGTTCTGTCCTTTTTTTTGAGACAGGGTTTTTCCGTGTAGCCTGCTAGCCTTGATCTCACAGAGATCTGCATGCCTCTGCCTCTGTGAACGCACTGCACCCAGCTGAAGCTGTGGTTTTTGTAAAGTGCTCGTGGTTCCTCAGCTTCGAAGGAAGGAGTGCAGGCAAAAGCCGATGAGAAATGTTGCCCAGTTCCGCCCATGGCACGGTCTTGTAAATAAGCCCCCGGCTCCAGCTACACAGACAGTGAGAGCTTGGGCGGGGTAGATGGGTGCAGGGGCTGTGACTTCAGGAACTGTAGCATTCACTTTCTAGTCAGGTATTGTAGAGTTCTGTGACCCTGACTGCAGTTCAAGAGGGGGCAAGGACCGGCAATACATTTCCTCTAACTAGTTTGCCCACCTCCAGCCTGCTCAGAATCAGCTCTGTGCTTTGGTCTCTTTGCAGTTCATCATGGGCTTGTCACCCCTCCCGAGGACTTTATTCCTAAGAGACTTTATGAGACAGGCTTTGTTAATCTCTAACGTTTCACCTTCCCCTGTACTGTGCTACACTGTTCTAAAAGCAGTGCCAATGAACACATACTATGTTCTTGTCATCCTAGATTGCTGTTCACTGTTAGGTCTGCCCTGGATCTAGTGTATAAACTGTTTTACCTTTTTATTTTTTTAAAATGTATTCATTTTTTTGGGTACGAGTGTTTTGCCTACATGCATGTATATGCATCATGCACATGCCTGGTACCCTTTGTAAGAGCAGCAAGTGCTCTTCACAGCTGGGCCATCTCTCCCACCTTCAACTTTTCTTTTGGTTAGTTCCTACTTTCCGAGTCTTGGCTGAGGTGTCAGTTTTTATATACATTGTGAAGTGCTCATGAGGAAGATCCAGTGCCCTCTGTTGGACTATAATACAGCATTGCATTTAATTCCACATCTGTTTAGGCTTCTGAAGGATGTGGTTATAGTCTGCTCACCACTCGCCTATTGAACAATACAGGGCATGCACTGGCCACTCATCGAGTTGAGCTTCAAGTACTAAGTTGTTTCTAGTTGCTCTTGATGTTGACCTTACTGGTCCACAGACATTTTTAGTAATGTGTGATATTTCAACCCTCCCACTCCCCCCTTTTTTTATTACTCTTGTAGGTTCATAGAAGATTCTTCATGGGATATCAAGTTCTAAAGGTCTTTGCAGCAAAAGATGATGAGGTGAGTCGGCTGTGGAATTTTGAGATAGTACTACAAAACTGAACTGTTATTTTAGGAATGTGGGCTTTGTTTGCTTGAAACAGGGTTTCTTTGTGTAGCCCTGTATATCCTGGAACTCCGTAGACCAAGCTGACTTTGAACTAAGAAATCAGCCTGCCTTTGCCTATCACGTGCTGGGATTTGCAAGCCCACCATGGCCTGCCTTTGTGTTTTAAAATGATATGAATATGCACAGCAGCAGTGAGTCCAACCTTTAACTCTGAAAATGGAGAAATAATAAATTAGTTTGTTTTAGCTTGAGCACAGTGCCTGCACAGCAGTAGCCTTTGAGCAGCTTGACTTAGGCGTGGGCATTTCCTGTTGGGTGTTACGGAGGGTTGGATCATGCTGACCCCTGCCTCTCTGGTTAGTGCTGGTGTGACCTCTGGAAGTGCTCATGACCTGTGGATGACTTCCCTGTCTCCCAGGTACTCAGGAGTTTCTTTTTGTCAGGCTGGCTTCTTCCTGGCTAAGAGCTTTGACTTTTACATCCTACATTCATGCCTTGCTGTTTGTATATATGTTCTTTCTGAAATATTAAGTCAGCAGTGAATATTTCATTGGTGGGTTGATCTGAGCTGGAAAATTCCAATAGAGACTGTGTTTTAAACAGTTTAAGCAGGCTTCTAAAGTTTGAAGATATTTGCATTAGAAAATAGTGAACTTAATGTCGATTGGTTTGGGGTGGGAAGAGGGTATCGGTTGACCCCTTTGTCTCCATAATTCTGGAACATGGCTGGCTGCTCACCTAGAAGTGGTCATGCCATTGTCTGAGAACAGTTAACATCAGGAGACGATGCTTGTCTTTCACCACACCCACTGGGTGTGGGTGGGTCCATTACAACACATATATGACTTGATATTTGATAATTCTAGTTCGTTGTATTCTCCTGAGAAATTGTGCTGGTCTGGTCTGGTGTGTTTTGTTCACGTTAAACTTTTTAAACCTCAGCTGTGGATTTGACTCGCACTTGTTTTCCTTTTCCGCAAAGGAAATTCTGATCACGTCATGAGAACTATAAGGAGTCCAGTGAGCAGTGTTCTGTTACAGAGCTGTAATGAGGCACCTGAGCTGCAATTCAGATTCGTCATATAAGTAACTAATTTCTGTTGTCAGAGTCAAATGAAGTTTCTAGTAAGGCGGCTTGCGTTTGGAATAGACTGGGACTGCATCTAGGGCCCGTGTGCATGGACGCGGTAGCCTGTGTGCCTGAAGAATGGAGGAGAGTTGAGAGGTTTTACTAGGATCAGGGTACCTGTGCATTAGGAAAGCTATTATGAAAGATTCTTTATTGGCTCTTTGGGTGTCTAGAGACTTGGTAAGCTCTCAGGGGTGAGCTGTGGGAGTCCTTGGGTAAAGCTAGTCCAAGGTTCTAGCTAGCTGTTCCTCAGTCAGTTACAAACTACAGCTAGACGGGAGTGCGGACAGCTGTCTTCGATTGGTTCCTTGAGCTAATTCTGGGGTAGGTATTGGTGACCTTGGTATTTCTTCTTTCCTGTTGTCCTTTGATTTTCTTTTTGTGGGTTGTGACAGATATAGCTCAATTTTATATAATGAATTTTCACATATTCTAGGGTCACTTTGAGATTTTTTTTTTTTTTAAGAAAAGACACCTTTATTTCCTAATGGCTTTTTGGTATCTGTCAGTTTTTTATGTGATAGTCAAATTTTGATGTTATCTTCCTGGAGAGTAGGGAAAGTATGCTGTATGAGAGCTTCCAGTAAAAAAATGTGTGCAGAGTGCCTGTGTGGGCAGATAGGGGAGTAGGAGGGCGATGACAGATATAATAGCAGTCTTCGTATATTTTGAGGATGATCATGTGGAATAGAAATTAATCAGTGCTTCATACCAGAGAAGTGAACTGGGACCAACAGGTGGGGAGTTTTGCTCCAAATGAATTATTCTGTCATCAGAGATTGCTTTCTTGTTCTTCCGAGGCAGTCTTGTGTCCATCCATGGAAGTTTGCAAGAAAGTCTCCGTAGCATCAGCCACGTGCATTGTGGGAGTTGTTAATGTATGTGAATGTTACTGGGTTTTAATTAAAATATCCTGTGATCAGTGGATAACTCCTTTAAATGTTTGCTCTGGTTATTTGTTTATAGTGTATGTGTGTAAATGGGTGTGTGTGTGTGTGTGTGTGTGTGTATGTGTAGTATATCTATTTTATGTGCTTACTTGCATGCAGTGTGTGTAGAAGAGACAGGCAGAGGAGAAAAGAAAGGAATGAGGACTCAGTTGAGTTAAATGCAGGCTTAGTGTTGTTACAATATAGAGGATAATCATTGACCCATCAACCCTCACAGTAAATATTCTTATTGGTCCCATCAAAGATATACAATTTCAAATTCCAAGCAAATTAGAAATAGTCTGTTTCCCGACTCCATGCTTATCTGCTCCTTTCTTATGGGATTTAGTATTAGAACATACAAGTCCTGTGTGGTACATCTTTCATTCCCACTAGTAAAGAATATATTTGCTCAGTGAAGTCAGGGAGTACCCTTTATTCTCTGACAGGGACTGTGAACCTAGCAAAGAATAGTATTAACAGAAGTATTACTTGGAATGAGGGGAAATTTATCTGTTATGAAATCTATAGACAACTTTGATACTTTAACAGAAGTATTACTTGGAATGAGGGGAAATTTATCTGTTATGAAATCTATAGACAACTTTGATGGCAAGATATTGAAGCCATAGGTTCTTATGAAGGGATGGGATACACATAGCTAACTGTGATACAGCTAGCTGTGATACAGGAAAAGCACACAGTGTTTGGGAATTTGGAAGATGACGCTTACTTAGTAAGGCAAATATGAAGACATGGGCGGGGTTGGAGCTAGAAGGGAATTATGTGAGCAGAAGCAACAGGGGAGGAAAAGTACAAGACCCTCCCCTGGTCACCACAAGGCTGGAATAGAACTGTTAGAGGCTTGTGGAAGAGACTGACATGCTCACCCCTGAGCAGAAGAGGCAGCGATGGATTTGAGAGACAGCGCAGAGATTGAGCTGAGGGATGAGGGAGGTCAAGGACTGTGAGGCTGTAGTTTGGTTGAGTTGGAGGTGCTATTAGTGGAAGTAGGAAAGACAGGTAGTAGTGAGTTGGCAAGAGGAGATATCTACCAGCGGTCTATGCCTGGATCGTAGGACAGTTTGATTTGTGTGCCCATAAGCAGAAGCCAGAAAAAAAAATACTGGGTTTCTTTCTCTCTCTTATTTCTTTGAGACAGGGTCTCTTACTGGACTAGAAACTTGCCATTTTGGCTAGGCTGGGTGGCCAGCAAGCTCCCAGGACCTGCCAGTCTCCATCCCCCAATGCTAGGGTTACAGATACACACAACCTAGATTTTTATGTGGGTGCTGGAGATTCGAGCCTAGACGCCCAAGACCGGGCCTTAGGTCTTTAGTTAATAAGAACAAACACTCTTGCTCACTGAGCTGTAAGACTTTTGACTCTTCCGTTCATGGGACTGGATGAAACAATCCCAAAATTGAGCGTTAGAGCGAGAAGAATGAGAGGCTGAAAGCAGACTTTAAGGACTAGTTGGAAGAAGAAAAGAGCTTGGGGAGCAGTGGCCCACCCTGAATAATTAGAGGAGACTTACTCCTGCAGTCAGAGCATGGAGAAAGGGGCCGGGCAGACGTGGGTGAGTCCACCAACCAGAGATTTGGCAGGTAGAAGTTATGAATCCGGACGGCAGTCTATTAAGAAAGCAGAGACGAAAGCTGGATTGAGCCAAAGAATAATCATGTTCTAAGCAGACTTAATTCAGGAAGTTTTAAGAACAAGAGAAGGAAAGAGACAGATTTAATAGTAATCTTTGCAAGGAGAAAGAAAGATTTTGTTTAGGAAGGCTGAGTCTTGAGTTTGTAGACTGTGGGTTGAACTCAGAGAAAGAGAGATTAAGGTAGTGGGGAATCTCACTAATAAAGTTCTGGATGAGGCGCTAAATACCCATTTGGTTTTGAAGGGGGAAAAGGGCACCGTTTTATTTTGCCTGCTGGTGTTGTAGATGTGGCCCATCACTGTGCTTGCTCAGGGCGCTCTACCACTGAGCTGTGTGTTCTCAGAAAAGAAGCCTGATACAGGGTAAACGCAGATGGTCCTGTGTGAGTGTCTAGGTCCTGTGGACCTGTGCTGATGCACACTTCTTCCTTACAGGCGGCAGCTGTTGCACTCTCTTCCCTTGTTCATGCTTTGGATGAGTTAAACATGGTCGCCATCGTCCGATACACTTACGACAAAAAAGCTAACCCTCAAGTTGGTGTAGCCTTTCCTTATATTAAGGATGCCTATGAGGTAAGATCCCTCAGGACATTTTCACCCTCCCCTGCCCCTTTTCCATCTTCTCTTTTTTCTTTTTCTTTTTTTTTTTTTAAATTCTTTTCAGTAGTTCAGGGGATTCAACTCATCCAATATCTGGGCCTCACACCTGCTAGGCTGTGCTTCACTGCTGGGCTCCTTGCTGTCTGTTCCCTTATTCTAAGCTCTGCTTTGGGATCTTGTTAAAATACTCATTCTAGTCATGTACATTTAATTCAGTTCCTGAATTTCTTGCAAACTTCCAAGTAATGTTGGGACTGCTGGTCTGTGAGCCAGGTTTTCAGGTAGAAAACAACATGATTCATGGAGCTTCTTAAGGAGCTCCATATTAAACCAGTAAAGATGAAGCAGGGCTTTCTCCGAGTTCTCATCCTTTTGGCCTTTTCAGAGCCACATGGGAAGAGAAATCACCTCCAGTTTAGCAAACAAGGACCATGATTAGAAGTTGTGGATATGATTTTCTTGTGGTCCATGTGAAGTTCAGTCTATTTGAGGCTCTTCTATTTAAAGTACAGGTCAGGCCTGCCTACTGTCCCCGTTCTCGGAGAACTCCATGCAGCAGGACTTTGGGAGCAGATAGGGATGCTGACTTCCCAGTCAGATGTCCTGCCATGCCAGCATTTTCCTCTTGCTCTGCATGGCCCTGCATTTTACAGTTTGTAGCCGCCTTCCTTTGAGGCATTCCTTTTATATCTGGTATCTGTCATGCTGTTTAGAACTGGGAAGTTCTCAATAGGCATCAAAATACTTTAGTTTACGTGTGTCAGTCAGATTTGGACACGTTTTGAACTACTTCTGCTGTGCTACTTCCACAGCATCTGGGACCACTCCTATATATTTCCATTAATTGATGATTCCTGCTTTTCTCTGCTTTTTTTCTCATTAGTGTTTAGTTTATGTGCAGCTGCCTTTCATGGAAGACTTGAGGCAATACATGTTTTCATCGCTGAATAACAATAAGAAGTACACTCCCACAGGTGAGCTTATTTCCATCTCGCTCATGAATGGCTCTTCACGCAGACTCTTCGTGGGAAATCACCTGGCTGCAGCTGTTGGCGGGGCCGGGACTTCACGGGGTGAGGTAGTTGGATTCTAATCACACACTCACAATAACGATGAAGATGGTCCAGCAGGTGTGCTGAGAGGGAGCAGATTCTCCTAACATCCCAAACTGTCTGGTTCTCCCTTCTGACTCACGGCATCCATCAGAGGGGCAGCTTGCTGAATACCTGTTCTCCAGTTGTGAGCAGAAAGTTTGCTCCTGCTGAAGTGAATTCACGGGCTTCCGTGTCCTGCATGCTGTTCAGTGTAGCTGGAACGGCAGTGGCGGTTTTCAGTATGCTCTTTCCGCTTTCTTCTTCCCTTGAGGTTCATGGCTGCAATTCAGTTCTCATTGTGGCTTGTTGCTAGCTTCTGGTAGTTACATCTGGCTGTAGGTGTCTCAGTGCCAGAGTGATTCTCACAGTCACAGGTGCTGTCTTCTAGGCAACTCACCATTTGTGTAGTTGTGGGTAGAATGTAAACAAACAAACAAAAAACCACCCAAAAAAAACATCAAAAAATAGACAACGAAGAATAATGATAGAAGTTTTAAGAGGTTCAAGAGATAAAACAAATGGTGACAGATGCTTTAGGTTACAAGTTTACTCTATTATCTCTATCAAGGCAGGGTTAGGGAATTTTGAGGTGACTTTGCAAATGGGGTTCTTAGGGTTATGCCCTTTGGGTACAGTGTACTGTAAAGAAGATCAAGAAATCAAATGGGTCACTGGGGCTGCTGCATCTTCTCTAGAGCTCGGTCTCATGCTATCATGGTGGGGGCATGTGGACCTTCGTATAAGAGAAGCTGTTGCCATGCTGGTGGTGTGTCTCTACCTCTTGATTACTGTTAATTAAGGAAGTATTAGGGATTGAACTCAGGGCCTCATGCATACCATGCCTTCAGTCTAACCACTGAGCTATACCCCAGCTCAGTGAAGTTCTTACAAACCAGCCTGAGTCTGAAAGTTGGACATCTTTTGATCAGTTGGCCTATTTCCTGTGTCTCAATGAATTCTGTTAAAGCTGTTGGCAAATTTCCCAAGTTGATGTTCATGAAGGGGTTTGCAATAACACCGTTGTCTAGCAAGAGAGTAGCTGGGAGCATAGCAGGTGGTACTCACTGAGTGTTCCCTTGTGCAGGTAATAGTTCATGGCTCATCAGTTATGATGGTGATGGTTGTAGCATTGCCTAAAACCACCCGTGGAATGTTCAGACCCAGGCAGACAGTGCCTTGTGATACGTAATTATATGCTCTTTCATCTTGTGACATTTAAGTAGAAAACAGAAGCATTAAGGTACCATTCAGAAACCACTTACTGTTCTACCACTGGCCTGTGATTGATGTTAGGAACAACATTCTAGTTGGACAGCTTTTCAAACTGCCATGAACCAGCAGAGTGAAAGGCAGACACGTGTTGGGAGAGCCAGAAGCTTTTTGGGGAAGGCTTGCTTTTGTCCATGTAGCTTTGGGCTGTGCCATTTGTATTGACTTGGTAGATTTTTATTGAAGAGCAGTTGCTAAATATTAAGTGACACATCAAAGAGAAACCATCAAGTTTCTGACATCAAGGAGCTTTGGAGCTTGAATGGAATGTTCTTATGTGTGTGCAGTGTCCTTAGTGGCTTTACAGAATGAGAAGGCAACACCAGCAGATCACAAAGGAATTTGCTTGTTCTGGTCAAAGGGTATCTCTCTGTGATGCAGCTGGACCCTGCTGAAGGTTGCTCAGTGCCTTTAGAAAGCTTCACTTCACTAGGAACTTGTTAGTTTTTAAATGTCTTTCTCTTTAGGTAATTACTATTTAAAAAAAATATATTAGCCTATCGGACACTAAGTATTTTTTTCAACTCTTCATAAAGGAGTTATTTTATATTTTTCTGCAACAAACTCTTTTGCTTTTGATTTCCAAAGGTTCACTGTAGACTAGGCTGGCCTCAAACTCATAGAGATCCACCTGCCTCTGCCTCCCAAGTGCTGGGATTAAAGGTATGCGCCACCACCACCCAGCCTCAACTGTTGCTAGTAGCTCTTTCTCAGATGAGAAAACCAAGAGTCAGGTTAAGCACTTATGTAACTAGGGAATACTTTTTTGCAGATCAGGTACTATATGAACTGCCAGTGTTATTACATTCAGAAATGTAAAGTATTTCATTTTGACAGAGAATAATAGAAATAATATATTTTTTTCTTTTTGCTTCTCTCTTTATCATTGTTTTAAGAGGCACAGTTGAGTGCTATTGATGATCTGATTGATTCTATGAGCTTGGTAAAGAAAAATGAGGGAGGAGACATCATTGAAGACTTGTTTCCAACCTCCAAAATTCCAAATCCTCAATTTCAGAGATTGTTTCAGGTGAGAAAGGAAAGGTCAGCCTATTTTGTTTTTTCTTTTCTTTTTCCTTCCCGTCCTCCCTTTCTCTTTTCCTCTCTACCTTTCTTCCTGTCTTTTTTCTTCTTGAGTGGGTCTCCACTGTTTAGCCATGCTGTCCTGGAACTCAATAATGAGTAGACCAGACTCATTTTGAACTCAGAGATTTCCCTGTCTCTGCCTTTGTCCCTGGATGTCCTGACAGATACGAAGCCTTAGTTCAGCAGCAGTATGGAAACACTGTGGAAATGAGAGGGGAGAGATTCTTGCAAGTGGATCTTATAGAAACCTCCTCTGAGGTAATAACATTGGTCAGAAATCTAAAAGAAAAAGAGAATGCCTGATGGGAGGACGGAATGAGGCAAAGAAATACGAAGAGCCCCATGCTTAGCCAGTTCCGCTTATCTGGAGAGAACATAGAGGGAGAAGTCAGGAAACCACTTTAAGATCTAGGTGTAGACAGGATTTTTTTAATAGGACTGGAGTCATCCAGGAAATAAAGCCAACAATTTACAAATGGAACCTCACGGAATTAAAAAGCTTTGCCCACAAAAGGAAACTATTACCAGAGTGAAGAGACAGCCACAGAATGGGAGAAGCTTCATCAGCTATTTCTCAACAGTATCTTGAACTGACAGAGAACTCACTGAAAAGGCCCAATGAAATTCAAGGGGAAATCGGGTAATTAAGAGTGAGCAAAAAGTAAACATATTAAATACGTGAACATACTAAGAGCACATGGGCTTTCTAGATGAAATTGTCATTGAATTCCTGAGGAGGGTTCCCCAGAATTTTCAGGATACTGACTCCTAAGTGATATTCACTGTTGAACCCAAGATTTCTTTTCTTTTTTGGACACAAATGTCTAGATAGCATTTTCTTTGTTATACAGAAACAGTTCATGGAATAGAATAAACAGTATGCTTGGTGATATGAAATAGTAGTTCGAAATTTCAAGAGCTATTTGGCTCCTTTTTTAATCCCCTTCAAAATTACTAATATGTAAGTTGTTTTAAAGTGGGAGTAAGTCTGGGGGGTAGTGTAGTGACTGAGCATGTGCCTAGTGTGTGCTAGACCCTAGGCTCAACCCATGGCAATAACAAATAAAATGGGCTAGTTAGAGCCTTCTTCACAGGAGGGAAACATCAATGGGCTCTCTCACTTCATTGTTTCTTAAGGGCACCTTGTGGCTTACCTTCCTGTGCTGTTAGAGCATTGGCTCTCAATCTGTAGGTCGTGACCTCCTTGCTTGTGTCAGCCTTTTCACAGGGGTCGCATATCAGATCTTTACACTACAATTCATAACAGTAGCAAAATTACAGTTAGGAAGTAGTAATGAAAATTATGGTTGGGGGTCACCACAACTAACTGTATTAAAAGGTCACAGCGTTAGGAAGGTTGAAAATCACTGCTAGAGTACTGACTTTTTGGTCAAATACAAATGGAACCTCAAGTGCTGCCGAAGCCTGACTTAGACTGAAGGCAGTACTGATGACTGAGTGGAAGTAGCCTGAACCTAGTTCAAGTCACTTGGAGAGTGGACAGCTTGCTTTGCCCTTGGCCTTCACCCAGCTCTTGTACTCCTTTATTGGCATCCCTGTCAACAGTGAGTGTCCTAGAAAAGAGCATTTATTCCCCCAGTCAATATCTATCAGATACTTATTATATGCCAGGCATATTTTCTGTGCTTAGAATTGAGCAGTGAGAAGATGCCTGTTTTCAAGGGAAATGGCCAGCTAATAAATAAGTGAACTAAACAATTCATGAGACTGTTTTAAATAAATGCTTGAAAAAACACAAAATTGGAAGATGTTAGACTATGATCAGACAGTAGCTTGCAAGCGAAGAGGCTGCTTCATGCACAGTGTCGGGGAAAAAGCTCTTTGAAAAGCTAATATTTAAGTAATGACCAGGAGGATGGTGACAGCAGAAGCTTAGCAGTCAGAGGGTGAGTAGGCCAGGAGCAGGCCAGAGTGGTGGTGTCAGTGGGCATGGAGGGCACCACGTGGAGACAGGGTCATACTTTGTTCTTGCTGATGGCTTGTGTCAACCCGGTATTGTCATGTTTTCCAGGCTTTCTCCTGGGGCTCAGGATGGGCAGCTCCCCTTTAGCCTCTGTCTCACCCATCACACATTGACCTCTAAACCAAGTGAAAGAGAAAGTGCGTGTGTTTAAGGGAAGTAAAAGATTTGTTATGAAAAAGCTGCAATCTTGGAGTGTTAGGGAGATATTCCTAGGAACCTTGTATATTCCCTGAGTAGCTTATAAGATGAGGACCCCTCCAGGAGGTTTACAGATGGCATTGTTTCTGTGCTTGAGTCTGCTTTTGTAGCTGGTTTTAGATGTGACCAATGCCCTATGAGCCATTCTATTTTGTCTTCGTTGTTTGGCATGAGTTTCATAGCCTTTCCAATTAAAGATGGAGGGCTCCTGACCAGGAAACAGAAAACTGTATAAGCATCAACATCCTTAACACCTTTATTCTTTCCCTACAGTGCCTGCTGCACAGGGCCTTACATCCCCAGGAGCAGCTGCCCCCCATTCAGCAGCATATTTTGAATATGCTGGATCCCCCCACTGAGATGAAAGCAAAATGTGAGATTCCACTCTCTAAAGTGAAGACCCTTTTCCCTCTGACGGAAGCCATCAAGAAGAAGGACCAAGTGACTGCCCAGGACATTTTCCAAGACAAGTATGGGATGCCATTGCCTTGGGATTTGTAGCAATGCAAGGAAGGTGGGATGGTGCTGGGTGGGTGCGGGCATGAAGACAAGTCTGGAATTCCTGGAATTAGGGTGCTGCCCAGGGTTTTCTGGAATTGCAGAGGGGGACAGAGCAGTTTTTTAATCCTTGTCTGTTGGAGTTATGGTTGACCCTGGTGGTCACTTGGGCTCAGTCTTCTGGTTTGGGCTGGCTTTTGCATCAACAATTCAGTATTTATGAATTATACATAGGAAGGCTAAGCAACATTAGTGATTACCCAAGGTTGAATTTCCCTTTCTTAAAACAATTTTTATTATATTCTTATTTCTTTATTTGTGTGTGTGTGTGCGTGCTTGTGAACACACATGTATGTGTATGTGTAAGTCAGAGAACAACTTTTGGATGTTGGTTCTTTTATTCTGCCATATGGATCCTCGGATCAAATTCAAGCTGTCTGCCTTAGCAGCAGGTCATTCTGCTGGTCTTGAATTGTTCCCTCTCTAAAGTAAAGAGCTGGGGATGGGAAGGATAGCCTGAACATTATGAGGTTTCCGCGTAGGGTGGCTAAGTACCTGTGAATCCTTTGAGGAAGTGAGGAGGACCATGAAACTGTGGCCCTTTAGCTCTTCTGTTAGTGGGTCACTGACATGCCTGATTACAGCATGAGGGAGGCATTTTCAGGTTAAGGAGTGAAATGCATTTCATATGCTAGATCAGCCAAGCTTGCAAATGGCTAAAAAGTGTTTCTCCTCTTTACATTTTATTCAGAATCTATATTAATTTCTATATAAATAAAAGTAAGCCAGAAGAATATACTCATTATACAGAATCCTTTGCATATGTGACATTGACTTTCTAGACTTCACTCAACTGGTTATTGATGATTTTTTTTTTCTTAAGCTAAAATAATGTTTTTTTTCTGCTGCATTTTGAGATTTGGCATCAGACCATGACTCACCCTCTCTTGCGCCCTTCTTTTTCTTTGGTTCCCTTCCCACGGCTGTCTCTTCATTGATAGAGCAAGGCTTATTATTTATAAGTACCCAGTGGGACAAGATGAGTAATTTCCAGAAACTTTCATTGGTTTCTATAAATCAATGGTTAGTGAATTATTGTACAAGTGGAATAGAAAGCTTTGCATTCTTCCTAGTGTCCCAGAGGTAAACACTCCAAGCTTTGTCAGAATTGGAAGGAAAACAAAACAGAACAGACCTGGATTGATTCAGTTACATGTACTCCCATCACACCCTCGCGAGGACTGTTGTCCTTTTTATTCTATCTTGCCTTCTACACAGAAAGCCTGTCCCTAAAACCCACTTCAGTTCCGTCTTTCTCTGCCTGTTCACCACGGGATCCAGCTGAGAGCAGCCCAGTGAAGTCTGTGTCTTTCTTCCATTGGCTCCTTGCTCTGGTCTCACTGCAATCCCGCAGCTATTCTCTCCCGGCATTAAACTCCAGTTTGTGATCTTGATTACCTTCTGGTACTATGGAAAAGAAACGAACCATTTTCTCTCCTTCCTTCGACTAAAATGTAAAGTAGCTGGTTAAAAAACAAACTTGAAGAGACCCCAAAAGCAGATGTGCTGTGACTTGGTCCCTGCAGTGATTTCACCTTCAGTTGTGGTCCTCTCATTCGCTGCTCTGGAAGCTTGGGTGTGCTCAGTTCGTTGTTTGCTCCAGTGGTTTGTGGGACCTTGGCAAGTGATCTGCCTGGGGCCTGGGCAGTGGCTCACGCATACATACTTACCCCCATTTCTGTTCTCTACCTTTTATTATCAGAAGTCTTCGTTTTTAAGAACTGTAGAATCGATGACTTTAACAAATATTTTCTTAGCACTCTTGTATTCAAAGGTGACTCAGTCTCTTTCACATGAGTTATAAAACCCTCCATTTTAATGAAAAATCTCCAGTTAGCTTTAAAGGTTATGCTAAGGGGGAAACATAGCTAATACTGAGCTGTGTTTTTTATTTATTCATTGTCATTGAATCCAGTTTACGTATTTCCAGTAGTTAGGCAACGGGCTAAGATTTTGGAGTGAGGAACTTTTCATAGTAAAAAAAAAATAAGATTTCCAAGCTGGGAATCACTAGTTTTTATACAAGTGACATCACTTGATAGGATTTGGGTTAAATAATTTTATCTTTATGATTTTTTCCCCTCTAAATACAGTCTTGGGCAGTCAAGATGGTCCTATGGGTAAAAATTACAAGCCTGGTTACCTGAAGATGGATGGAGAAAACCAGCTCCAAAAAGTGGTCCTCTGACCTTCCCACATTCATACCCTGGCACATGTCCCTCCCCAGTAATAACTGGAAAAAATGAAAAAGCATTCTCATTCTAGGAGAGATGACAACAACAAAATGCAGTGTAGAGGGACTCTGAGCCATTGGGAGGGTGGTCAGGGACACCGCATTGCTCTGAAAACGTGGCACGCCCGAGACACTGCCATCCATCTTCAGCCTGCTGTAGTGGTGCTGTCTTCACTGCTGGCCCACAGTCTCCTAAATGTCGTCTCAGCGTCTGAAGGTATTGCCTCCCTCCATATTGGCATATACCTGGAAGTGAAAGTATTTCTCTCGGACAGGTGTTCAGGAGAGTTGGGACATCTGAAGACCAGCCCTGCCCTGCATACGACACATATATGTCCTTGCTTTCTTTGGACTCTGTACAGATCATCTAAGGTCTGCTGCTCTTTTCAAGTTTCCTAAGACTTCTCTCCTGTTTACTCTCAGCCAACAGCTTCGTCTGACTGGCATTCAAGATACGAGATCCCAGAGTCAGCCAGTGAGAGTTAGCTCCCTTGCTCTACGTGACTGTTGGCAGAAGTTACTTGTTCTGCGTTTCCTCACGAGTGAAATGGGGGTGGCAGGGATACCTGCCTCATAGGGTTGTCATGAGGACTAATTTGATAACTCAGGCTGTTTCCCTGGAACCAAACACAGTGCATATCCTGTGGTATCGTACCTTGTTGTTTTCTGTCAAAGAACAGTGTTTATCAGTAAACAGTCTTCTAGAAGCCCTCGTCATGTCCCTAGCACATTATCAATGGCAACAGTGGTCGTGATGATTTCATAGGGAAAGTAGTGGTTATAAGTGGGTACTACTCAATTTTATGTTCCATCTTATCGCTGAGCCTGCCTGCTTTGCAGTCATGTTAATTTCCTTCTCTCCAGGCCCAGTGGACATCCTTCATCCCTTCCCCATCCCTGTTGTCCAGGCCTGAGCTCCTGTTGTCTTAGCTGTTACCCTGGTCCACTCATAATGTCTTCTTTCCACCGTAGCCACATCCTCTTCATGTTAACGTCTCTTTCATCTAAAACAAAATAACCCCTCCAGGCTTCTCCTTGTAATTGCTGCTTGTTACTAATCATCTTTTCTTCTAAGTCTGGGTCTACTGGAGGAATAGACACTGTAGCTTGTCTCAGTTTCTTCTTCTCTGCCTCTGCTGTCTCTTTGAAGATCCAAAAGATACGACCACTTAAATTCCCTTCAGCCTTGCAGTCCTTTTCCATAGTCACTTTTCTCTTTGTAGAGCATTTGACGTTGTCAGTTATTTTTCCCTCTTGAAACTTGTGCATCTCCCCTAACTTAAGCTTCCAGATTTTTTTTTTTCCTGGGCTTTGAAAACTCCCTGCTAGACTCCTCTGATGTTTTCCTTCTCTGCCGACTTTACATGTGTTGTGTGTATAGTGCTTCAGAACAGCCTCACCGAGCACGGTGTGATATGAGGTGCCTTCCTTGCATTATGTACTTGGATCCTCTGGCCATCCTGTGAAGTAGGTTGCTTTGTTGTTGTCATCTTAAGCCTGAGAAGGCTGAGGGTCGGAGAAAAGGAACAACTTGCCTGAGATCTCTTGGTAAGTGGTGGAGGATTTAATTAATGCGCACGGTCTGAATCCAGAGCTCAGACACTCAGCCCTAAACCCTTTTTGCCCTCATAAGGCAGGTCTCACACACCATTGACATTTCATGTGCAGGGCCTCGAAAGCCACAAAGTCTGTCTGCATCCTATCCGTGGGCGGCTCAGGTGTCTGTATTTATCTCAAATTCAGTGCATACGGAAATGGCGTAATTATCTTTCTCTTGGCATGCTTCTTTTCCAGTGCCTCTCCTCTGTGCTGTTATTTCCCATTTCAGAGAATGGCTCCTGATTTCTTGGGGTCATCCCTTTCTTTAACTTCCCATGTCTAATTGGTTTACCAAGCTGTATTAAATTTACCCCAAATCTGTTCCTTTCAGTTCAGGTTAATATAGTGGCTAATGGCATTGATTTTGGAGTCAGATAGATTTGAATCTAAATTCAAGCATTTCCCTTTACTGGCATTTGAAATTGGCAGGTTAGGCTGTGCTTTGTAAAACAAATACCTGGGTTTGATGAACCTTCATTTGCTCATCTGTAGAGGACAACGGCAGTGGATGATTTTGAGGGCTGCTGCATAGTTTAACTGTGATAATTTAACCATGCTTGGCTTATTCAGTGCCTGGCCTGTTAGCTCTTAACAGCGTTTCCCACCAGCATGGTTTATGCATACCTTGTGCCTTCTGCTCCAGCCTGCCTTTCTGAGGTTGCTTGTGGCTATTTCCCTTCTTCCAGTCTCATTCCTTTCCAAACACTTGACTCCCTCAGCAAGTTTCATGTTTCCTTTTCCTTTTTTCAACATTTCCTGGTTTATTGTAAGAGATGTGAAAAAAATACAGAGGAAGAGGTGCATACAGTAAGACCTCTAGAAAGGTCTACAAGTGTCCCTGTCTTCTGGTGAACCGTGATCCAGGACCCTTCATTTGTTCGGCTGTGCAGAAGGTGTCTGAACCCTGCCCTTTAAATAAAATAATTAATTTATGTGTATGGGTGTTTTGCCTGAATATATGCCTGTGTATCCTGGGCAGGCATGCAGCGTCCCCAGAGGCTACAAGAAGGTATTGGATCCCTCATAAGTGGAGTTACAGACAGTTGTAAGCCACCATGTGGGTGCTGGGAACTGAGCCTCGGTCCTCTGGAAGAGCAGACAGTGCTTTTACCTGCTGAGCCATTATCTGCAGCCATTATTTTCCATCTTATGGAAATGTCATCACATAGGCAAGGTTGATTATATCAGGGGCCCGTGGTGAGCAGGTTAGCCTTTGACCCCAACCCCTCCTCAGAGTGGGTGGAGTATAAACTCTCAGCTCTCTAAGCCTGCCTTAGTCTTAATGATTTCTCCCGATTCCCTTTTCCTAGGCCACCCAGGGGCTGCCAGCCAATTACAGTGATTTTTTTTTTATTTTATTAATTCTGTTTATTTTTTGGGTGTGTATGTGTGGGGGAATATGCCCGCACTGTGGCACACGTGTGGGGGGTGTCCAAGGACAACTTGTGGGTGCTGATTCTCTCCTTCTGTCATCTGGGTCCTGGAGATGGAGCTCAGGTTGTCAGCCTTTGCTGGCAAGTGCCTTTCTCTCCTGAGCCCTCCGAGCAGAGTTCCATCACTGCCACTTAAAAGTTCTTTAATGCCACGATTCCTCCCTCCTTCTCCTCTCCATGATGGACTCATTCAGTGTTATGAACCCACTCTCCAGGAGAGTACCCTTATCCTCACATTTTGAATGTGATTTCAGTCGTTCTGACTCTTCAGACTGTAGACTGCCCTTGCTTTCAGTGGCCTCCTCTACTTGCCACCTAAGATGATCTACCGTTGTACAAACAAGAAAGCCAGCGATCAGACAGCAGTCTCCACACTCCAGCTACCTTGAAAATACCATTTGCTTTCCTCACCCCTGCTCCCACCCCTTTGATCGGGATTGACCCAAGGCCTTGCACATGTTCTCTGTGACCTGCACCCCCAGCCCTCCTTATGTTTGTACTCTCTAGCCCCATCTCTTGCTGCTTTCCAGCTGTGCCCTGTGCGCCAGCTAATACAGCCACTTGCTGGTCATGGCACGCCGCCTAGCAAAGCATTTTGTTTGTTCGCGTATTTACCTTTCTTAAATTTGTCCGACCTTGCTGGAAGTATTGATTGCCTGTTAGTGTTGGCAAATTTAGGGTTTAGAATCTAGTTTAGTGGCTGGCACATCACTGTTCCTTACACATTTTGCTAAGTTAATTACCAGATGCATACATATTTCAGAAAGTAAATGAAAAAGAGAGAAATAACTTCCTTATGGTCCCATCATCCAGATGCAGCTTCGGTAAGGGTTGTGTGTCCAGGTGGCTGCGTGGGCATTGTCTGCTTTCTAGGGCTTAGAGTCCTGTGTAACCTGGAGATTATGTCATCGTCTTTTGCCACATCACGTGAATATTGTGAGTACTGTATGCAGAATTTCCAATATTAGTTGTTTGACCTTGAAACTTTTAACCATAGTAAAATTTTACTATGTACTTATTTCTGGGGCTGTTTTTACCTGCTGGGTACTAGGGAATGGTGTACAAATACCATATACTTTTATCTTTTCTTTCCTCAAGTCTTATTTCAGAGGGTTTAAGAAAGTCTTCACGTGATTTAACTCGTAGCTCCACAAAACTCAATGTGACACATTGTATGTGTAACCCTTCTTTTTGTTGTTTTTTAAAAAGATTTTTATTTATTAACTTTTATCCTTTGAGAGTTTTGAGTTTCATACATGTTCCGATCATATTCAACCTATTTTCTCCAACTCTTCCCAGATCCACCCAGCTTCCCTACCCACCCAACTCTTTGACTTAAAAAAAAAATAGTTTTAAAAGAACAATGTATGCTGCCCAAATGTTGTTGGATGCATGCTCTTCTGCTGGAGAATAGTCAGCTGACCAGGGGCTACACCCTTAGAGAAAAGTGTCTTCCTCTCCCACAGCTCACAGTCGCCAGTCGCCAGTCTCTCCGTGGCCAGGGGCGGGAACTGTGTGCCGAACTCCTCTCTCCGAGCTGGGATTTGGTCTGGCTTGGTTTTATGCATGTGGTCCCAGTGCTGACTGCTGTGTCCAGACGATGTGCCTCACAGTCGGGACTACCTTTTACGTTCTGTGTGCCCCACTCCTCCCCTGAGCCCTGAGCCTTGGGACGGGGCTGCTGTGCGTGTGTTCCCGTTAGAGCCGAGCACGCTGCAGTCTCTTACTGTCTTGCCCTTCGGCCAGTTGTGGGTCTATGTCAATCACCATCTACTACAAACAGGGGCAGTAGGTGAGGTATGAGCCGTCGATACGATGCGAAAAGGGGTGTAGAAATCCAAGCAGGACAGGTGTTCCTTGGCAGGTCCAGATCGTATTCATTTTTTAGTTTATTTTTATGAGCGTTTGCCTGCATGTATATATATGCACCATGTGTGTTCCTGGTGCCTGTGGAGGCCAGAAGAGGGTGTCAGATGCCCTGGAACTGGAATTACAGACAGTGGTGAGCTGCCATGTGGGTGCTGGGAACAAAACCTGAGGGTCTTGTGCAAGAGCAGCAAATACTCTTAACCACTGAGCTGCTTCTCAGTGATTCTCCTTAATATTATATGCCGTTAATCTGTATTTTTGGAAGAGAATAGTTGATAAACTAATGAAACTTTCCATTGCAGTACTTTCCTTAGGCGTAAATGGAAGCTCAGCCAGGTGGTGATGTAATAAACTCTAAAGTCTAGATAATATCCCACAGTCAAGTCGCATGACTGTATCAAGAAGATGTAAGAGGCTGAGACCAGGGCTGGCAAGATGATTCAGGACATAACTGCACTCGCTGTGCATGTCAGATGACCTGAGTTGGATTCCTGGAATCCACAGTGGAGAGGTCTCGAGAACCAGCTGCCTCATGTCCTCTGACCTCTACATGAAAGCTGTAGCATGTATACACACACACACACACACACACACACACACAAGTAATAATTTAAAAATTTGCAATAAAAAGTCTACAGAATACTAAGGCATATTTTGTCCCAAGATTTTGAACTGTGCCCCATTCTTGTTTCTTGGAAAGAGCTGGTGAAAGCTAACTGCAGTGACTGGCTGTGGTTTGTTCTCACACTACCAGAATTAGTCTTTCTTGGGTCTGTGTAATTTCTTCCGTTTCTGCTATCAGCCTTTATGTACTTCTCTTCTTGTAAGGAAAGAGCCTTGATGACTTAATTTCTTGCTCTTATCCCCCTGACTTCTTGCCTCTCTGCTTCTCCAAGGGAAAATGTCAGCAAATAGAAAGTTTTAGGTCACACAGTGTTTATTACTGTGCTAATTATTCTGTGCATCCTTGTAAAAAGTTTTGTTGTTTTTTTTTTTAAATTGAATCCAGTTTCTGCCTTTTTAATTTTCTGTTCATTTTTAAGATACCCTCACTTCTGGGCTTATTGTCTGCAGGTAAGGATTTAAGCAAAACCCAATACATTTTGAAATGCTAATTTGGAAAATATTTAATAGAGGGAAGGGCACCTGGCATGCACAAGCCTATGAGTTTGAGCCCAGCACTACCTCACCCCTTAGTCCTACCAAAGGAGACGAAGCCTAGAGAAAGATTTTTAACTGTTCCCACTACTGTTAAAGGAGAAAAAGAACAAGGGGAAGTAATGTGTATATTCATTAGCTCTAGTTAGCCATACCATAACAATGTTTACTTATTCCAAAACATCAGGTTATTTTGACACACATAGCTTTAGTCTGTCAATTAAAGTAGACTATTTCTTGGTGTGTATGTATGTGTGTATATTATGCATGTTTGTGTGTGTGTGCACACATATGTGCAGAGGCCAAAGAACAACGTTGGATGTCACTTCTCTGGTGACATCCACATTTAAAAAGTGGCTATTTATTTATTTATTGAGACAAGATTCCTCGCTGGCCTGGAACTCATCAAGAAGGCTAGGCTGGCTGGCTAGCCAGCTACAAGGATCCACCTCTCTCTGCCTCCCAAACATTAGGACTATAGTGCGTGTGTGTGCGTGTACACACACACACACACGCACACGCACACACACACACATACACACTGTCATGGGTTCTGGGAATTGAACTCAGGTCCTTCTCTGCTTGTAAGGCAAGTACTTTACTGGCTGAGCTATCTCCCCATCCTAAACTAGACCTCAGTTAGAAATTTCCTAGTTGCTAATTTCAGTTATTTTTGATGGCTGCTCTTGACCTATGCTTAGTATCTCTTTAAGAGAAAAGTCTTCACATCCTTGTGTTTCACTTTGTGAAGAGAAGATAGAAAGCATCGTTGGTTGGGTTTCCTTTTCTCCTTTAATTACCTTAACATCCCCATGACTTTGAAGCCAACATGTTTTTAAAGCCAGCATGTTACTTGAGGCAAGATGTTTGAGGGCCTTTCTTGGAGCTGTCTTTTCCATGGCACCCAGATGCTGTTGCCCTTTTTGCACTGTGCCCAAAAAGAATCAGGGCCCTAAGAAAGTAGATTAGAAGGTGTGATCTAAAAAAAAAAAAAAATAGTTAAACTTAAAAAAGTTTTTGCATTTTTTGTCTAGTAAGCTTTGACACTTTTAATTGGCTGCATATAAAGATCTTACATAAATTAGTACATTGGAAAAGGTGGGTTTTCAGACACAAAGTTCTCCTGTGTACATGAAAAGCTGTGGCTCTGCATTCTGAGATGGGGACCAGAAGGACAGCTGGACAGATGGTTTCTTAGTCACTGTTAAGCTCCCATTACGTGTGCTTGCCATTTTGTATGTACCTCATGATGAAGCAGCAGCTGCTGACTTCTGTACTTCCGTGACATAAATTCCATGTTACTCCAAGGGCCTCCTGCCAGGGCCCCAAGGCTGGGGAGAAGGTGCCCAATGCTTGGATAGAACATCTTAACGTTACGCCTGTTTGTTTTTGCTGCTTGGAAGATAACTCTATAATTTTCACATATGGTATTGTATTTTTGTTTTGTGATAAGGGGAAAACACTTGTTTCTTTTCTTTCTAGTCAGGAAGAGGGACCTGCTGCTAAAAAATGCAAGACGGAGAAAGAAGAAGGTTACATAAGTATCTCCAGCCTGGCTGAAGGGAGTGTCACCAAGGTAAACAGCGTCCAGTGTCCAGTGTCCCTCTCTGCACTGGAACCACCTCAAGTTCTTCCTTTCTATCCAGGAATAGTTAATGAGAGTGAAGGATGTGCAGAAATATGTGCGTGACTGTTTTAGCAGGGTGCCTCTGTGGTGGCACTCCTGTACAGATCTTACTGGCTTCATTTGCCTGGTTTCTGGTTAGTCAAGATGACAGGATTAAGTGGGGCATGGTCAATGGTATGAACCTTATCCCCAAATACGTAAAGTTGAAGTAAGGAGTTCCATCCTCAGCACCCACAACCCCCTGTAACTCCAGCTTCAGGGAATCTTAACACCTCTGGCCCTCTCTGACATCTGTATTCATGTGCACAAAGCCACACACAGATACTCAGGTGTAATTTAAAAAATAAGTCTAAAAAATAAATCCACAAAAAACGACTTGCGAGGTTCGGACTTTCCAAATCAAATTCCCTTTGACAGCTTTGTTTGATGAGGTTTCCGGAAGTTGAGTGTATTAACTTCTTATATGCAACCTTGTTTTGAATCAACAGATTTTTAGCACTTCTCTCTTAGTAAAGTCAAATAGAAATGTCTCAGAAAAGTCAAATATCAGAACAGTGGTTTGGACTTGGGAATATTTTGTAGTATTGATAAGTCAAGCTCTCACGCCCTGAGCACTATTATTCCTGTACACAATTCCGAGCAAAGCGAGGTACTAAGTTTACCAGACAGAGCACACAGCCACCCCTTTGCCTTCTCAGGTATCTGAGTGCTGCAGAGGCCTTGTTAGGATTAATGCGGATTAAAGACAGGTATGATTAGAAAGTGTCACACAGCCGGACAGAATTGCACTGCCACAAATCTGTATATATGATCTGGTTCCTTAAAAGGATATGTTCAGTATGGACATATTGACATAGCCTACCAAATTTTCAGTGCCAAAGGGCCAGTAGCAGCCTCCCCCACCAAAACAAACAAAACACAAACAAACAAAACAAAAAGAATTTCTGTGAATCAAGCATTTGGCTGCTGTTTCTCATGTCATCATCATTACAGGAAAAAGTATTTAGCATGACCTCACACAACAATGTTTCCCCTTCCTAATTGAGTTGGTATCAACGTGTAGGTGGCCTCCACCACCAAAAGCCTTCAGGTTGGCGCGGCTAGTGGCTTGGAGTATAAACTTCTGACCTCCCTGGAGATAAGTCACCTTGAAGAAAGATAGTCAAGTGGAGGTAGACAGGGCAACTATGCGACTGCTTGAATTTTTTTAGTTTCTTTAAAGTTGATGTTTTTGTATGTGCACGTATTTGCATTCACACGTGTGTGCCACAGTATACGTTTAGAAAGAAGACAGCTTACAAGAGTTGGTTTTCTTTTTCTATCATGTCGATTTGGGGGATTGAACGTGCCAGCAAACTGACTTTGCCTGGTGAGCCATCTTGCCAGCCCCTGAATCTTCTAGCTTTTAAGAGAGTCCTAGAAATCAAAATGAGAGAAAGGCCTTCTCTTTTGTCTTTAAGAGCACACAACCTGCATGACGCCATCTGTCTTGCCTGAGGTGTGGTGGTTGGTTTTAGCTGTCAACTTGACATACTCTAGATTCACCTTGGGAATTGAATTGATGTGAGGAGCTGTCTAGATCGGGTTGGCCTGTGGGCTTGTCTATGGGGAATTACCTCACTTACACTAACTGAGGTGGGAAGACTTGCCTACTGTATGTGGCACCACTTCCTAGGAAGGGGATCTGAAGTTTGTAAGGTTGGACACTACCATTCATTCATTCATTCATTCATGCATTCATGCATGCATTCATGCATTCATTGCTCTCTTTTCCTGTTTGTGGTTATGATATGACCAATTTCCCTCAAGCTTCTTCCCCTGTGACTTCCATGCTGTAATGGATTTAATGTGAAACTGTGAGTCAGTTAAACCCTTTCTCCTTGGAGTTGTTTTTGTCAGGGTGTTCTGTCAGAGTAACTGGAATGGAGCTAAGATGTGGGTACTGCCAAAATGAGAAGTGAACTGCGGGTGTCTGTTCCAGGTTGGAAGTGTGAATCCTGTTGAAAATTTCCGTGTTCTTGTGAGACAGAAGATTGTCAGCTTTGAGGAAGGTAAGTGCATGCCATTCACGTGGTGTTCATAAGAAGGTAAATAGTCTAACTAAAGGTCTGGATTAGGTGCTGTGCTGTTCCATTGCAGTGCTTTCACAGCATTGGTCTTCACGGGCAGATCTGTGCTGCTTGCCAGGGCTTACTGCGTTGTCATTATGAACACACAGCAGGGTCAGGGGTCATGGGTCAGGGGTAGTCAGTGCAGCACAGATCTGCCCAAACAGAGATTAAACTGTGGTGCCGACCTCCCTATTACAAAAGCTTTGGATCGGAACTATGGAACCTTTATTTACACCTCCTTAAAGTTCTTTGGTGTCCTGTGAGTGAGGTGGAGCCCATTTTTCTATCTTCTTGAGACATGGTTCTTGCCCCAGTTCCAAGAGCATAGCCGCCTCTGCATACAGTCTCTGAAGGATGATACTGGATCCTTCTCAAATGACTGTTCTTACCTTTCCTTAGCATACAGTGCTTGTAATTCCATTTAGGTTGTAGCTAATCTCAAAGCAGTTTACACGATGAACAGAGGGTCAGTGACCAGTGATGTTCACTCAATTACACTACTGTTCCTGCCCATTTACTCTTTGAAAGGCAGCAGTTGGCAGTTGGTAAAGCCTGAGGGTTTTTGTTTGGTTGGTTTTTTTTTTTTTGAGACAGTTTTTTTTCTATGTAGTTCTGGCTGTTCCAAACTCACTGTAGACCAGGCTGGCCTCTAACTTAGAGAGTCCTCCTGCCTCTGCCTCCCAAGTGCTCGGAGTAAAGGCGTCACCACCACCACCCAGCTGTTTTTATGTTTGCTCTGGACATTCCTTTTTTGCTTCCCAGAGTCAGGTTCTTTATGATTTGCCCTTTCTCTGTGTGTTTATCTTCATGCATGCACAGATGTTTCTCTTCCAACCTGGCCGCTTTTTAGTGGAAAACTGACTTTCAGGACCAGCGAACACTACTCCCAAGCACAGTGAATAATCTGGGGTCTAATAAAACACCTGGGATTGCTGTGCTAGTCCCAAAGATAAGTATGATGCACTAAGCCTCAGAGAGCACCAGCAGTGACCAGGTTAGAGCCTATTGGCAGGAACACCCAAGGCCAAGTTTATGACCATTTCCTGAAAAAGACCAGCTTCGTGGTCATAATGATCTGTGGACAGAAGGGGTCTGCCTATGCTCTGTGTTTGAGATGGAGGAAGAGGCTTTTGTTCTGTTAAATGTTACTATGTAGGCCAAGAGCCTTTGAGTAATCTGGGGCTGGTAGCACACACTTTTAATCCCAGAACTCCAGGGGCAAAGTCGTGTGGATCTGTGAGTTTGAGGCCAGCCTGGTCTATAGAATGAGTTCCAGGACAGCCATGGCTACACATAGAAACCCTGTCTCAAAAAAACCAAAAGCCAAAAATCCCTTCATCTAAATAGAATTCTAGGTGGCAGACCTTGTTTTTTGTTATTGTTGTTTTGTTTGTGTTTTTGATTTTGCTTGTATAAATTTTCTTTCATGAATGACATCATCACTAGGGACTTTGAGAGTGACTTTGTGTTTGGAAGAGGGCAGATAAATTGAAGGACCCTGTTGTCAGTCATATGTGTGTATGTGTGTGTGTCTGTATATATTTGTTGTGGTTGTTTTGGGGGCAGCAACTCAGTTGGTAACCCCCTCTGGCCTGGGACTTACTATATAGACCAGGTTGGCCTCTAACTCACAGAGATCCATCCACCTCTGCGTCCCAGGTGCTGATCTTAAAGGAGAGTGCCAACGCTTCTGGCATGTTTATTCTATCTTTGGAGAAAGATTGAAATCTTAGTTTTTAATTGTTTGTTGTCAATTACATTGGCCAGTCAGTGTCCACTGTCCCTTTCTGGCAGTGGTAGGTCTTCCAAATCGGTGTGGGGTGGTCTCCTCAGGGAGCAGATACAGCTCTGATCACCACTGTGTGGCACCTTTTAGTTATTTGGTGTCTCCTGCGCAGATCATAGTCTAGTAGCACTTTCTCCTACTACTTGCCGCCCTAATACATCTAGTGTAGCAATTCTGCAGGGTCATGCTGAGGAAATGGAGAAGAGTTAGAACTTTAATAGTGGCTGTCCGAGAGGGTTGTTTTCATTCAGGAAACACGTGGATGGGTGTTCAGGGCAGAGAGTGAATCTTTGTCCCTAGGCTTGGTCATCAGTCATTGCTAAGGCTTGAGAAGAAGGGGGAAATGCCATAGCCCCTTCAAAGATAGTGCTGCCAGAGCTGGTTCAGGAGAGGAGTGAGCAGAGGAATGGGAAAGTGAGTGAATTAACCCGTGGGCATATCTACGGTTTTCACCATGGGTCCCCAAGTGACAACCACAAAACCCAGATGACCAAAGCTCTGGCAATACAGGGTTTATACACTATACTAGGAGATGTTGGTGAAGGGGCAGTTTGGTGTCTGGAATTACTTCCACCCTGGCAGAGGTCTTCTGAGAGTACAGGAGACCAAAGTCTAATGAGAACATGAGATAGAACCTTCCTAAGAATTCCTTCAACTTTGGGAAAACATGGCTTCCCTGAGCCACAGCCTTAGTGGTTCAAATCAGTGTTTTACAGTGACAAGGCACATAGACCACATGGCATGTATGTTATAAGAGGTACAGTTATATCCATTTTGCTGATCTAAAACAATGTAAAATTAGCAGAGATTTGAACATAAGTCTCATTCACATACTGAATTTTTCTATTTAGTCAAGTATTTCCCAGTTTCCCAACAACCTCTTTTCCTACATTTAATCTTAAACACCGTATTTATTATTTTTTTGTGTGTATCAGAAGACAACGTGCAGCAGCTGGTTTCTCCTTCTATCATGTGGTTCCCCAGGATCCAAGTCAGGCCATCAAGCTTGGCAATAAGCAGCTTACCTGCTCAGCTGTTTGGATGACCCCTTTCCCTACATTTGACATCACATACTAAAACCTTCTGTCTGTGATGGGCCTTTTGATCGGTAGACTGTTCTTTCACTTTGGATGAGGCACTGCCAGTGCTGTGATAGTGGTTGTCTCTGTACTTCCGCCCAGGGGGTGGTGAATCACAGCTCCCCACGGCTGTCACCAAACCAGACTCGCCATAGGGCTTGTTGGCAGAGGGGTGAGGCTTGTTAACCAGTGCTCTGTGTCTCACACCTGGCTCCTCTTTTGTCCCTCCCACTCTTGCTTTCACTTCAAAAGTTTTGTCTGCTCACTTCTTGCTTTTATTCTTCTGCTTGGGCATCTCTCTATTGAGGCTTTTTGTGATCCTCAACTCTTACTTCCTTTCCTGTGGAAGTGCACTCTATCCAGATCTCAAGCGTGTCCCAGGTGTGATCTGTTTTCCTTTCAAGAGACCTCTAGTCTGGGGGAAGGAGGAGGAAGTCTTTTTGGTTGATTGGACAAAAGTTTGACTAACAGTAGGTTGTTGATAATACTGAGGTAGAGCTGACATATCACATACTGATATTAACTAAAACGTGGGAGCACTTACTTTCTGTCCTGCCTGCTTGCAGCATAGGTCCGCCAGGACCTTGGTAATGCCTGCCATCTCCTGATAGCAGAATCTGCAGTAGACAGCTATACATTTCCTTGGCTTCTGGCTTTCAGTGTGAGGGATAACGATTCTCGTTCTAATCATGTTGGCAGATAGGATATAGAACAGCCTCCTGGCTGCAGGGCCTTCTGGGAGCTGTTGTTGATGCTCTCTCAGGTAGCTTTCTTTTCTCTTTCTTTCTTGTCTTTCTTTTGTTTTTGGTTTTTGGTTTTTTCGAGACAAGGTTTCTCTGTACAGCCTTGGCTGTCCTGGAATCGCTTTGTAGACCAGGCTAGTCTCAAACTCACAGAGATCTGTCTGCCTCTGCCATTCTGAGCACTGGGATTACAGACGTGTGCCACCGTGTCTGGCTTTCTATTACATCCTTTTTTCGCTGTCTGCCCTGCCAATCTGTGACCGAAGTTTTACAATGGAGAAGTTTTTGGCCATGACCGCATGCGTAATAGCATCCTTCAGTTGTGAAAGTTGGCTCATTTCCCCTGTTCATTCATGCTGTTCATAAGAGGAGTGTTATCATCTATGGTTTATTTATTACCTCTGAGGCCCCTCAAATCAAATCTTTCCATGTGTTTGAATGTCTTTCTCTACCCAGCCATTAGTAGGCTGCTGAAGAACACCACAGATTTCTAGCACTTTCTCTACTTCACTTAATGCTAACATCGTTTGAGAGGAGATGGCAAGGTAGAGGAGGAAGAATAGCCACACCACTTTAGTCACTTCTCCCATTTCTGTGTGACTCAGATCTGTCCGAGTTGATAAATACGGGACATTAGGTAAAAGAGCTAGGCTGTTCCTCTCAGAAAAGATGGACACATGGAGACAGCTAATAGGATGCAACATAACTTATAAGATGATTTTCCCTTTCGTGGATCTTGTTTTTGCCATGTAGATTATAGGACCTGTTTTATATTAGGCTTCTGTACAGTGATGGGGAACTGGAACTCCAGTCTACCAAGCTGAACTTTCAGGAATGTGACTGGCTTAAAAGGAAAAAGGGTGTCAGGGCATCCTAGATAGAAATGGCACAGACCCCGTCCTCCATGCTTTGTTTGATGCTGGCTTTCTTTGTAAGTGAGGAGAGGCAATGCACTGTGCCCGTTTGATAGAGGACGCTCGGTTTGTCTTGTGGCTTTCGGAGATTTACTCTCTCCTCCCTTTCCTTTAGTTTATGTAAGAAATCTGTGTGTCTCCCCCTTCCTCACCTTGTCTGTATGTTTTTCTTCAAAAACATTCTTTTAATTTTAAGAGCCGTTTTCTAAAATTTGTTTTTCCAAGTTCTTCCAGCACTAGGTAAAATATGCTATGATTAAATGGTAATGAAATTATATTATTCATCAAAGCCCAGTAGGTGTATTTTTCCATTCTGTTTTTGTATGAGATAGCTCTGTCCCATTTTCACAGGAAGTTATTTATATAAATACGTGATTTTTCTGCCATGAGTTAATTCTTAACTGTGGATTTTAGAGCC